TCTGTGTCTGTGTCTGTGTCTGTGTCTGTGTCTGTGTCTGTGTCTGTGTCTGTGTCTGTGTCTGTGTCTGTGTGTACAAATACTAATAGGTTTTTAAAAAGCTGTTAGCTGGTCTTTTGTGCTGCCTTTTAATAATTAAATTGTTTTGAACTTGCCAACTGTGACTTCTTGCCTGCACCAAAATTTATTTCCTTATCTTCTGATGACCAATAAAAGAAAAACTGACTTTTCTATTGTAAGATAACACATGGCCATTGAAAATACACACTGACCAAATGAAAGGACTTCACTTGTCTTCCAGTCATGAAGCACACTCAGCATGGAGCAAATTAGATTTTTCTTCCAGCTGGGACAATTTGTTTAATTTTTTTGAACATTCTCCTTTTTTTCTTTAAGAGCCCTAACATGATTGATTGGTGTTTTTGTAAATCTGTTTCAGTTAGTTAAGCTCCAAATCCTTGGTATTTGTTGTTTTAAATCCCATAGAAGACTTTTGAAAGAATATGATTTAAGAATATTGTTCTAAAACAACTCAAAAATTTTTGTTATATCAAGAAAAACATTTTAAAACAGGGTCATTGTATAAAACTTAGAAGCAGAAAGAAGAAAATAAATAGGTATGAACATGTATTTAAAATTATATTTACAAAAATGAGGCATTGTTGTATAAATTGCATTATAAATATAAGTCATTTAATTATATTTTCTAATTGCTTGTTTGGAATGCTGTTGTTTGTTTCTGAGTGGAACTTTCATGTGTGTTGGGCAAGAGGTACACCACTAAGCTCTGCCTCCAGTCTGTGTTGCATCTTCTAAGCATACGCAGATCGAGACAGAGAATGGAAGACACATTGCCTAGTTCACAGCACGCAGTAACTGCTACTCATTTTACCATCATCATTACTAACTCAAGCATGTTAAGTTATTCACTGATCATTTATCATGTATTTACTGCATGCCAGATTCTATGCTACAAGTTGGGAATATTTGCAGTTGAAGAGAAAGAAGAGAATGGGGGCTTAGGCATATACAGGGGGACTGTAGCTCTGACTTCATGTGTTTCTAAATAAGAAAGGACAGTCTTTAAGTGCATGAACGTGTGTGAGCAACAACAAGGATGAATGGTGCTGGGGAAGCACACAGACTGTCTTGTGTGTTTCATATGCATAGGTCAGAGAGGATTGGCAAGGAGAATAAAGTTCTTTAAGGAGAGCAGAGTATGTAAAAGTATAAAGGCCTTCAGAAATCTAAATGTCATGTTAATAGAACTTCTTGACTCTAATGGGAGCTATCACTGTCCCCATTCCCAAACTATATTGCCTCTTAATAATAGAATTTTTGGCAACTCTTTCTGAGCTGATTAAATATCAATGACCCAATCTTATTGTATTTCAGAAGATTCCATTTTAAAATATATTTTTAAAATTTACATATAATATATAAATTTCATGTTTATATTTTAAATTTAAACTTGAGAATTCCATACATGTGTACCATGTATTTGACCATTTCACCCTCTCTAGCCCTCCAGTTAAGAAATTTGAGGGCTTAGGGGTTGGGGAGGTGGCTTAATCAGTAAAGTACATGCCACACAAGCATGAAGACCTAAGTTTAAACCTGAATAACCCATGCAAAAGAAACCCAGACACCTGTAATTCCAGAGCTAGGGAGTAGAAACAGGGAGATCCCTGGGTCTTGCTAGCCAGCCTGTCTAGTGAAATTGGTAAGCTCCAGGTTCAGTGAGAATCCTTGCTTCAAAGAATAAGCTAGAGAACAACTGAAGAAGACATTGTGACTAACACAGACCTCTGGCGTATATGCACACATGCACATACCCTCAACAACAAAAGAGAAGAAGACAAGAAATTTTGGATATAAAAAAAATCTATACTTAATCCAATCTTTTTCAGAATTACTTTCTGCTTTGAATGAATCTATAACATACATATTGAGAAGTTGATATTTGTTCCAAAACAAGAAGGCTGATGAGATGCTTCAGCACTTGTAAGAGCTCATTTAGTGTTCTTGCAGAGGATGTGACTTTGTTTCCCAACACCCACGTCTGCAGACTCATAACTGCCTATAGTTCCAGCTCTAGAAGATTCAGTCCTCCTGGGTTCTGTGAGCAGCACACACATGCACATGCCCACACACAGGCACATCACTCAAAATAACTCATTTTTAAGAAAGAAATAACTTTATCCTAACCTGTGACTTCTAAAATCCTACCCACCTGACCCCTTTTATCTCAGTACACTGGGGTTCTGCAACCTATTTCCTGGCTTTGTGAGCCATGATACTCCTGAGTTTTGTGCACATTGCTTTAACTAATAGCAATGAGCTCTGGTTTTTCTAGATTTGCAAGAATTCATTACTTTTGTGAGTAGATATGAAATGTATCAGGTAATTTATGTTCTGATAGCAGGGCATTTTTGATACTAGTAGTGAAATGGACATTCAGGTCTCCATATTAAAACAGAGGGCTTGCCTATGCTTGCTAAACAGTGAAGGGAAAAAAAAAGCATAGCAGCACATCCTGGAAGTTCCCTGCTCTTGGAAAGTGGTGAAGATAAACCTCATCACAGCCTGAGTCACAGCTATTGTGTCTAGTGACCACGTGGGCTTTTGGGATAGTTTTATGACTGCTTGCTACTGTATCAGATTAATCTGTCCATAAGACATCAATTAGAAATTTGAAGCATGCCTTACAAAGACCAGTTGCTTGCAGTAGTCTTTAAACTTGAAGCAACATTTAAATATCATCTAACCCAGCCTTCTCATTCCAAAGCTTTGGGGGGAAAAAGAAAAAGGAAAAAAGATGCAGCGGATGCTTAGCTTGAACAAAGCCTTCATCAAGATCTGAACACGGGTCACCTGCTGGCATGAGCTTTCCCTCTGTGCCCTGCTGAGGAGCTAAAAGGAAAGAAAGGCTCAGCAACTCTTCCCCCCTTATTATTAGAAGGGAAGTGTTTTCTGACCTCCCTTGTCTTTTTGGCTGTCACTCATCTTCTATAGTACATTATCCCTCAGTGTCTACTTCTTTTTTTGTTGTGACACCCTTTAAAAAAGACTAAAATATATCAAAAGGAAACTAGAGAGAAAGCACACACACCTTACCTACCCCGACACCTCCCTTCTGCCATGGATTGAAACTAGTATATACTGTCCTTCCAGTGGTTTTCTATGCATAGGCAATCGGTGATCTGTCAGTGAGTGCCCCTTAATACAATAAACTACACTGGAATTGTAACAAGCATGGCTGGGAATGTAGCTCAGTAGTTCAGTGTGCCTGCCTAGCTTGGGTGACACTGCGAGTTCCATCTTCAGCCCTGCAAGTGGAATGTTAAGAAATAAAGTGTGACAAGCAAGTATGCCACTCTCACTGTCCCCACTGGACTGTCATCACTTATTTTGAATGTTATTCATGTTAGTCTAAAAAAAGTTGTGCCATATCTCACAGAAATCTTTTTCCAATGGCTGGACAGAATTCCATTGTATAATTACATCATCTCCGTTTAACCAGTTCTCTGCTCTGGTTAGCCAAGAATTATCAAAGCCTTAGGAAGTTGGAGTGTCTCCTAAACATTTTTATGGAAAGATTGGAGTGTGGGATTCTTCTTTTAAAAAAAAGAAAGTATTTTTCAGATTTACTTTTGTTTATGTGTGTGAGTTTTTAATCTGCATGCAATTGCTTCAAAGTTCAGAAGAGGGCATTGGAACCCCAAAACTTTACCTCATTGGTTGTCAGCCATCATGTATATGCTGGAAACTGAACCCAGGTTTTCTACAAGTGCAGTAAGTGCTCTTAACTGCTGAGCCACCTCTCTAGCCCCAAGTATGAAGTTCTCAAGTGGGAGGTAGGATGAGGAAGGGATTGAAAATTGTGGCTGATGAAATAAAGTCAAACTATCTGAATTCTTAGGGATAGATTTGGATAAGACAAAGGAGAGAAGGCAGTCTTTTGTCCATCGGGCAAGCTGCTAGACTTAGAGCTGTGATCTGGTATATTCGTGTGTGTGTCTGTGTGTGTGTCTGTGTGTGTGGTCTGGTTATATATAATCTTGATATTATGCTAAATCATCAAACGACCAGTTATTCCTCCCCTGGCTTCAGCTGTCTCAGCTCTGTCTGCTCAGCAGCAACTGATCCCTTCTACCTCAACTCCCCTGATAAAGACAGGATTATTTATCCCAAGCATGTCTGTCTTGACTCCTGGATGAGATAAGGAAGTGATGGATAGCATGTCTACAGACTCTGGGATCCCTTTGCCTTCCCACCTAAATGCCACACCCGAAGTTCTTCCCACTCTTGTATTAAGGATGCAGAGCATATCTTGATACAATTTGATCCTTTAGATTAATGGAACCTAAAAAGGTAACTTCATACTTTTTTATCTGATTGTTATTTGTTTTAATGGTTCAGCAAGTGACAGCTGAAGTTACCCAGTGAGCTGTGAACATGAACTTGGGGTTGAGGGAAGGGTTGGGAATGGATAATAGAATGAGTGAGAGAAAGGAATTTTTATTCATTCCCTTTCAGACCTTTGGCTGTATCTGAGCATTCTGGTCTGTGTTAGAGGTTATAGCTTCTTGAATTTTCTTTAGGAAGCCCTTGAGACTCCTGGGATAACCTTCCAAAGATAGGCCTCTCAGGGTTGTACTATTAGCAATGGATATTTCCTAGAGGCTTTTCCACTCGGGGTCCTAAGTATGATTCCAAATCTGCAATTAGACATTAGATGGGGATTAGGATATCATCTAGGGAAGGCTGACAGCAAGCGAGCTGACAGCTGGAACAGATGGAAAGAGGAAGGTGACAAGAGAGCCTATTTTCATGCAGATGTTCTCATGCAAAGGCATAAAGGATCAGAGAACAGGCCTTAAATAAGGCAACAGAAATGATTTAGCATAGGGTTTGTTTCTGGTTTGTTTTATTTAGAGTAGAGGCTGGGTTTATAATTGCAAGGAACAGTCTATACAGAAGAGAATGAGATTGCTCACCATTTATTCATTCTTCATACTTATTTATTAAGTGTCTACTATCTGGCAGTAAGCATCATCAATTGTCAGGATAGTCAATGACATGGCCCCTGGATAGAAAGATGCCAGAGGGATAACCCTGGTGTGATAGGGCTGTATGAAAATGGTGCCATGGGGATTTACAAGTTACTCATGGGACCACATGGGCAAGCACAAGAGGCCCTGGGGGCATCTCCCAGAAAAGCAAGTTTTTCTTTGTTTTAAATGGGAAAGAAGAGAGCAAGCTCTTAGTTAAAACCTCATACTGCACAGAAAAATGTAGAGTAAGAGAACTCAGAACTTCTCACTTTTTATTTATTATTAATGAAGTTGTAATAGTCATAAAATCAAAGGCTTGGTGTATAATTCTTTTTCTTTTTTTTAGCTAGTGCACAGTAAAAGGCAGCACTATTATTATTAAAATGTTTATTTATTGGAGCAAAGCCATGTCCTTCTATGACTTATGGATCACGCTCTGAGAGACCTTCCCATTTGCTTTTAAGTTAAACCCCATCATATGAACCAGTGGATCAGGAGATAGCCAAGGCAGCCTCAGAGCCTCAAGAATGGCTGTAGAGGACAATAGAAAAAGAATCCTCACCTGGCATTACCACCTACTAGCCTGTAGGGATACCCTCTCTCTTAGGACTGTCTTATCATCTCCAATAAAGAACTACTACTATCTTCCTCAAATATGGGTAGGCTTATTATGAGATAAGATGAAAGACTGTGTACAAAGTAGTCTAAAGCTGCGTAGGTTGCTGTTAATGTACAAAGAATGACTACTATGAAAGTCTGTTCTGCTTCTCTTTGGCTCTTTAATGTAGTAGGTGGAACATTTTATTATAATGCTTCAGAGCACCCAGCATTCTGTCAACCTGCATGTTTGGATACTATTATATGACAAGATTTTCCTGGGAAGACACAACACACATCTGCTTACCCAAGAAGCAGAACCCATGACAAACCAAAACAGGGACACCACCAAAGTCCTACTTGTGAACCAATAGGGTTTTGAGGGTTACCTATAGAAACGGGAATGACTCAAAGATATTTTCATCCCAAAAGCTCTCAAAAGCTGGGCACCCGGGGAACATTGCATAGTCTGTAGGCAACTCAATGGGTTGAAGAGTGTCCTTTCTAGGTGGCTTAGTCTGAACCTCTTCCAGGCAGCTCAGCAGCTGTCCCCTGCTTCTTTGTAGCAGCTGGACTTGTCTGAAGTGACTCAGTAGTCTTATCTGTATTGTTTACTCTTGGGAGAGGGCTTACTGAATCTGATCGGTTTTAGAAACTTCCTGGGCCTGTTTTTGAGTTTTACTTCCTCTCTTATGGAGCTTCCCTGGGAAATGGAATGTTTCGATGGGGTGGTGAGGGGAACACCTGCTACACAACAGATAGTGACTCCATCAGTCTTTTTTTGGCCTTTGAGCAGTTTCATTAATCTCTTCAAACTGTCTTCTCATTACTCAAATAAAGTGGGAGTAATGATACTAGTAATTTATGTAGTTGTTTTGAAGATTTGGTGAATTATCCAGTCAAGCATAGTCTCTCACAAGCCAGATGAGATGTCAAAACGGAAATACAACAGCAGTCGTATTGCACCTGCTATTGCAAGGCACCTGCTTGTGCTTGGCATCTGTAGGTACATGTGCTAGGTGGCAGCCGCTCCAACTGAGCACTCAGAAACTCCCAACTTTCAAGAAGTCTGTATTAGAAAAAAAGATGAGACTTCTTAGGGTCTGGCTTATACAAGGCAGCCCTGCAGGTTAGGTTTACCATTGACACAGGTGCTAGGGCGATGAAATGCACCCTGGAGGGAGCAGGATATCAACCTAAGTGGCAGACAGCAAGTGCATGTCTTCACACCAACAGCACTGACACTCAGGAAGATCGTCCACCCTCCTTGCTGCTTTCGTTCCTTAGAGAACAGTTTTCTTCTACAGGCTAGCATGAAACTTATAGGAAAATCCCATCTAGGCTATACACCTACCATGAAAATCAGCAGAGAGAGAGAGAGAGAGAGAGAAAGAGAGAGAGAGAGAGAGAGAGAGAGAGAGAGAGAGAGAGAGAAAGAGAGAGATTTTTTTTTAAAGAATTTAAATGGTCTTGCCTGAATTTGAGTCAGAAAGTCAGAAATCAAATGACTTCTCAAAAGTAATCATCCAGGTGGACATTTGTATTTTGTGTTTCTTCAGGAATCTAAATTCTCTTGTTTCTCCGTTACAGAAAATGAAGGAGTACTTGGAGGGCAGGAACCTCATCACTAAGTTACAAGCCAAGCATGACCTCCTGCAGAAAACGCTGGGAGAAAGTGAGTGTGAGCATGCTCTGCTGGAGGTTGGCAGAGCAGAGAGGCCCAGTAGCAGCGCTCTTTCCTAAGCATGTGCCTCCAGTCCTCAGCCAGCCAGCCCCAACTGGTTATAGGAATGTATTTCTCTTCCTAGACTATTCACTGTGAAGGCCCTCCCCTCAGCGGCTGCTTGAACAGTGGGAAAACGGCAGTGTGTGAGAAATGTTCCTGTTCATCATGTTTCTTTAAATGGAACGTATATTCTTTCCACCCAGACCCTTCACCTTTCTGCCACATCTGTAGTAAAGGAGCACAGGGTCATGGCCTCTCCAGATACTTGTTAAGACTCCCAGTCCTGGGGAGAAAGGAGGTCCTCAGATGGAGGGGGATGGACACACTTGTTGCTTCTTTAGCTTTCATTTCCTTTTACTTAAGTGGCAGCCATCTCTCTACCATGGCTGAACTAAGACCAAAGTGCTAAATGTATTGTCTCATGTCTGGCAATAATCTTACCCAGACACTGGAAAGGACTGAGGCAGAGAACTGAACAGACATTCTGGACTTTTTCTCCCCAGTCAGCAGTCAAACAGAAGGTGAAGGTTGAAAAAGAAGCTTGCCCGAGGTTGTTTGGCACCCTGCCCGGGTCTCCTGCCTGGCTCTCAGCATCCTATGATTAATGGGATTTCCAGTTGGGGATGCCCCTGAATGTTCTGCCCCTCCTCCCTATCCCACTAATCTGTCCTCCACAGGGAGCACATGCTCTCCTCACTGACAGTGTACTTGCACTCATACAAGACAATTAATACTTTAAAATAAATTCTCGAGCACTCAACAGACAAACTGTGAAGTAAAGCAGAATTTACAAGACACATTGGCTTTTTTAGCTCAAGAATTGTAATATCCTGTTTATCAGACTAGACTAAACCTACCTACTCTTCTTGCCATGTCCTTATCCTGCCCTGAACAATTCCCCCAGATGATTTCTTTTCTCTCTAGCATCTTTGATCTTATGATTTTTTTTTAAGATGGTTTCTTTAATGTGGAAAAAAAAAATCTTTTAGTAACTTGTGATCTTTTCCTACCTAAACCGTTCAGGTCTAGACATGAGAACCAGGTTTGCTCACAGTCTTTCCTCCCGAGCTACCAAGCTGCTGTATGGAGAGTTAAAGGAAAGACAGCCCAGAAAAAAAATATTTGAAGAAACTTATTATGATTTCTTTTTCTCAAAACAATATCAACACAGCCTGGAAGACAGGTGGAAAGGCGTTGGAGCCATGTGTGTGTACATGTTTTGTACACATGTATGCACGGAATAATGCTACCCTAGTGGGGTGGAGGTTGACCACTGGAGCTCTAAATTGCCATAATTTAAAGATGACAAGTTCCAGAGATAAAGAAAAATAATAGCTAGAAATCACCCTGAGTGCAAATCAGCATGTCCCTGCCTTCTGTGTCCCCGTAATGCACGAGCCTCTTGTTCTTGCCACAGAGGGATAATTGATGTGCATGAATATTCCAGAATGGAAGTAGGACAGATGCTGAAAATAATGGCTCAGAATAATATTTTTGCAAATGAAAACCGAGCCTTTGGTAGCAGGGCTGTTAAAGCTTGGGGGATGGTATTGCTGAAAATGAGCTGAACTATCTTAACAATTAGCAACACTAAATGAAAGAAAAAACCCTGCCTTCCCCCAACCCTCAGAGTTGCCTTTCCTGGATCTTGAATAAGGAGAATGAGTTGATCTTGTCTTTCCTGACTCAGTGCCCACCAGAGTTTGCCATTGATTTAGCTAAGACAGATCAAGCTTCATTAACTGTTGGTCCAAAGGAGGCAACATATTATATCATGGTTTATGCATGCATATGTACATATTTTTATTAAAAAAAATTTCTTACCAATTTTAGGGTTTTCCATTTCATTTTTCAAAACCGTCTCTGGCCTATGAAAACCTTACCACCTGTCATTAGACTGAAAGTCATCATCTGCTACCCATGTGGGTACTGTTATCCCTCCCTGCCTTACTATGCCTGTTAACAGGAGAATTTAGTGTGCTTCCAAAACTAGAACCTACATATCTTCTTCTTCCTCCCTCCACATTCCTTTTTCTCCTCTCCAAAGTCAACTGTGTGTGTAAGTGTGTTTGTTCATATAGTGACAAACAAGCAAGTTTATCCCATGTCCCATGTCTCCTACCTACCTCTCGCCACCATTACGCACAAACTTACCACATACACAAGAAGCTGAATTTCATGTATGGGGAGGCTTATAATATTTTTTTGTTCTTCCCATGCATCCATGCCTGTTTTCTCATTTAGGAAGTAGTGCTGACAGGTCCAGAGAACCTAGAGCAGCAGAGTTTCTATCCACAATGAGATTGGGGCAATCTTTTCTTTCCTGCCTCTGGCTCTCTAGGAAGATATAAAAGGCATGGTAATTCCTAGGGCGTACAGATCTCCCCACCCTTCTGCTTCAACAAATGCATGTTGCCCTTCTCTTTCCACAGGTCAGCGAACAGATTGTAGTCTTGCCAGGTAAGTGGCCCTGGGAAGGGATAAGAAGGGGGGGTGGGGGGAGCCACCTGGGAAAGAGCAGTAGAGTTGTGTTGTTAAAAGATACTGGATGATTTTGCAAACGAGTGTCCTGGGGCAGGAGTTGCTTCCTTCTCTTTGCATTTCTAACCCCATCTCCTTTCAAGTGGCTGTGGAATTGCTGCTGCCATATAGGATAGTTTGAGCAAAATAAAGTCATGGGAGTTGTCACATGATTAAAATCTTCAAGAAACTCCCTAAAGCCACAATACTGTAAAGAAAATAAACACTGGACTCTGGATCTTGATAACCTCTTAGCTAGAAGACTTCAACATGTGACCTTGAGGAAATCTCTGATACAAAAAGGACTAGGTGATAGCGTTTGATCTGAGGTTTTTTTTAAGTGTGTGGAAAAGATGATGGGCACTAATTAGTGACTGTTGTGGGTAATGAAATATTACATCGCTTCGGCTTGCCAAATAGCACTGGGAGAAGTCTTTGCTGATGTTCAAGTATGCAGTCCTCCCGGTCTTTCTCCACCTTCCCTCCCTCTCTACCTCAGCCAAATAGTTTCCCTCACAGTCATAATGCTGCTATGAGCTGGCAGAGAACAAGAGATTCGTTCAGCCAGCACCCTGAGATGCCTGAAAATGTGCTGGTTTTAAAGGAGGGCACGCTTTAATGTAGCAGATATCAACCTGGGAACTCTATATGGTCCTGAGGCCACTTACAGCTATAGGCTCACTATTTACTGATGATTTAATCTGATTTTCATCATTTTGTCATAGTGGATTAGAGCTGAGGTCCTGTTAATATACCACTCTTGAGGACTGGCGGGAGCTAAGAAGAAATAGAATCTGTCTCCTAGTGGTATAGTCTTAGCTTCATCAGAGGTAGCACATCTCTGGAAAGACTAAAAAGAGCTGCACTGATTTCCCATGCTGCTTATTCCTTTCTTCACATGTGACCTTGGACTAGTCATCTCTCCTCTCAGAATATCAGTTTCCTCTTGTTGAAGACAAGAGCATTTTGTTAGCTCAGAAAAGCGCTATGATTTCAGCAAGGTGCCTTAAGGGCAGGCTGGCAGCAGAATCGGAACAAGGTCCAGCATCCTGACCCATTTCCTACCTTCCCAAAGCAGGGAAGTGCTACCCTCCTCGTTGAGTAGTATGCTTCTGTGTCTGATACCCTTTGAGAAAAAGGCTCCTACAGCTAAGCGTGGCTTGAAAAGCACTGACAGAGGCCCCAAGGTTCCTTTCAGTCTGAATGTCCTGACATCTAAATAAAAAAACAAAAAATTAATTAATTAGTTTAGGTGGTCCCTTAGAGACTCAAAAGAAGATGTACACTCTTTGGTGTTTAGTTTTGTTTCCTTTCATACAGAAAGATCTTTAAATTGTCTAAAATGATTCTGCTTTACTACAGAGTAAACTATTTTGCCTCCTATTTAAATTTTGAACAGTGGTAGACATTAAATCAGGGACCACTATGCTTTTATGAAAGAATAGTTTATTAGGCTTTTGTTGGGAAATAACTTGGCAAGTCTCTTAGCTTTTTCTGGGACTGATCTCAATATTGTGATATGTTTCATTACCTGCTGTTACAATTGTTTTACATGATTTAAAGCTTTGGTTCTGGATTTAGGAGTGGTTGTTTCATTTTGTCCTTTTTCTCTTTTTCCTTCCTGTTGCTGCACTGGCCCTTTCTGATCGATGGGGCAACCACAGGCGAAGCTCAACCGTGAGGAAACAGGTAAGAGCCCAACAGAGCCAGACTGTCCAACCTGGCTCAGGAAAATCCAGTACTTCCCCAGCCATGACTGAATGTCAGACATGCCTCTGACCTCATGCTTGTGCTTGGTTGTACCTTTAGTTACAGTATGGTTAAGACTGTAGCAACCACGGATTCGAGTTTTCCGGAATTATCATAGGCTTCATGATCCAGTCTTCTCCTTGTTGGATCTCTCATTTAACTTTCTTACAGGTTAGGTTTGATTTAAACTTGAACAAATTGTTCCATAACAGCCCATGATGTTCTTCTCTCGGACAACATAAAGAGGCTTCACACTTCCTTACATATACACTGATACTCCAGCAACTCAAAGTAGCTGATCCTCAAGCGGAGACATCTTGCTTAAGTTTGTAGGTTTGCTTGCTTCTGTTAACATTATCATCTTAAACATAGTCCTGACATACCCTAATAATGTAGATATGAACCTGTTTTGAGAGTGATACAAATGAAGTGCTCAGCCTGACAGGATTGTACTGACTTTCACCATTGTACTAAAATCCACCGCTGAGCAGCCAGTTCTTACCCATGTTAGGAGGAATCTTAGCAGTGGCCTTGAGTAATCTACATCGGGAAATCTCAGTACAATTCCTACTTACTTTAAAAGGAAAAAACATTTAAATGAAGTGTATTTTTTGCAGTAGCAAAATTCCATTCACTAATTATAGTCTATGGTAAGTATTGAAGTGACTTCATGTTCCCTAAGCTTCTCACACCAGCTTTGCAGGAGAGAAAGTTAGCAAGTACAGGGTGGAAGGCAGGGCTCAGAAATAGCCTTCTGTCTACCCAGGAAAAAGCTGATCTAGGCCTTTTTTTAAAATCACTTGCAGGGCTGGAGAGATGGCTCAGCAATTAAGAGCATTCACTGCTCTTCCAGAACACCCATGTCATGGCACTTACTGCAGCCTGTAACTCTAGCTCCAGGAGATCCAACACCATCTTTAGCCTGTTGGGTACCTGCATATATGTGGCATAAATACACAAATAACTATAAATATAACTTTTTATGTCAATTGTGGTAACGCACAGTGGCCCTAGACTCGGGGCAGTCATCAGGTGCAGAGGGTGCAGGGATTCTGGACTGGACAGTTCCCAGACCCAGCACTCTCTTCGTGGATCTAACTACTCTGGCATGGTGGGCAGTCCACTATGGTATTCACTTGACACAGGCTTTGTTGTCTCCTCAATTTCTCAATACATTGAAGATTTATTTACTTTATTTCATGTGTATGAGTGTTTGGCCTGCATGTATGTGTGTACATTATGTGCGTGCCTGGTGCCTGTGTGGAAGGGAGAGGAGGGTGTCAGATCCCCTGGAACTAGGGTTACAGATAATGTAAGTCACTGTGTGGGTTCTAATCCACTGAATGGATCCTGATCCAGTCCAGGGTCTTCTGCTAGATCAGCAAGTACTCTTAGTTGCTCAGCCATCTTTCTAGCCTTTGTCTTCCACTTGACTATAGATAGCATTTTAATGAGAAAAATCAATCTTTTTCTCTTTTCTTTCTTTTATTTTTCCTTTATTATTATTTTTTAAGTACAGCATGTTACTTATTGTACAATCCAATCTGACTTTGAACTTAGGATCCTGATACCTCTACCTCATAAATTCTGGAACTACAGGCATGTACTACCAGGCCTGGCTATGCATTATTTAAATGATAAAAATTTTACTATAACTTTCTACCATCTTATTCCTATAATTTTTTTCTCCTTTCTCTCAAGGTTTCTCTTAAAACACAAAAGGAATGGAATGCTTCTCAGATAATTTATTGCATTTAAAATTAATAGGCATATATCTTATAGAATAAGCAACCACTTTTTCTTTATTAAATAGGCTTGAACTTACAATTTATTTCTTTTCATTTCTGATCTCACTCTAGACTTCCTGCTTAGACCTAGAGCTTGCATGTGGGAGCTTTGCAGCTTCTGCTGCAGCTGCAGGGCTGCTGGAGTTTGTTAGGCAGTGTCTGCCCTTCACTAGAGTCGCCATCAGCGGGAGTGGTACCTGCCTGCTTCACATGGCAATTGCTGCACTAAAGCTTTTGCAGGCAAGGTGTATTCCCCTGGTACTAGATTTGCATCAGAGTCCAGGATTTACCTCATCCGATAAGCCCCTTTAATTGGTTTTTCTTATAGTTTCTCTCTGGCAAGAAGTTTTTCTTAGATGTTAAGAGTAGTAAAATCATAATTTAGAAGATCTTGTTTGTGTAAATAACCAGGAAATCAATGTTTGTTTCTGAGAGAGAGAAAAAGAGAGAGAGAGAGAGAGAGAGAGAGAGAGAGAGAGAGAGAGAGAGAATGAATATCTGGAAATTTGTTTTCCTGTAGAGACTAAGTTCAAACCAACCCAGACCTTTCCTAAACAGGAGGAGACCCCTGAGCTGTTACTTACAGGCCTCCGTGCTCCAGTCAAGCCCTTCGTCTTCTCTCTCCTACCCATTACTTCTTCACTTTTTTCCTGATCCTACTTTCTCTGATCCTTGAAAATTAAATGTTTTCCTTAGGTATGATCTACTCTGTGCTTGTCTCTTTTTAAAGATTATTTTATTTTATTTTATTTTATTTTATTTTATGTATACAGATGTTTTGCCAACATATATGTCTGTGCATCATGTGTATGTGGTACCTGTGGAAGCCAGAAGAGGGCATCAGATCCTGTGGAAATAGAGTTAGCATGGTTGTTAGTTGCCATGTGAGAGCTGAAAACTGAATCTGGACCCTCTGCAAGGACAAATGCTCTTAACCACTGAGCCATCTCTCCAGACTCAAGCGTCATGCAGTATCTACATGTATTAAAATACATAGTATCCCACTAATATGTACAGATTTTATGTGCCAGTTAAAAAAAAATAAGTTCTAAGACAAAAAATATAAATCCAATTAATACTAAAAGAAAGAAACTTTGCCAAACTATGTATATTGTATAGCTGTCTTCTTGATAGTTTTCTCTTGTAAGTTACTGACTGACGCTCCACTCTTTCCAAATTATATCAACTGTCAGTTCCCTCAGCTTCCTTAATCTGATTGAATGGATATTTGCCCTGATTGTCCTTACTAGCCCTCTCCAACTAAGGTTATATGATCAAAACATTGGGAGTCAAATAATGAAACTGATGGCTGACATTGATTCTAACATTGAGAAAAGAAGGCAAAAAGAAAAGAAGGGAGAAAAATATATGGAACGGGCTGGGGAAGTTGTATGCAGTCCATGTAGGTCTTTGTGGATACCTTGGGAACACATAGGCACATCTGGAGAAGTGACTTCACTTGTGGCTTAGAAACATCACAGGTAGCAGCGAGGATAATGGGAGTGTCTGAAACCTCTGTGCTCTTGGTCCTTACTAGACTCTGCCTTGGACTCCATTCTAACCTTCTGTGGTAGGAGAGAGCTCTGCCCTATCCTTGTCTACCACTGAGTATTCATCTGGGTTACTTCTGCTGGGCTCTTGGTGACAGTAGGCATACAGGTTGGCTTTCATGCCTTATTCCCTGAGGACTCTCCAGAAGTCATCCTGCTGTTGATGTTACATGTCCTACATAACCAGACAGAGCCCTGCATTCCATAGTTTACTAATGCCAGTAACCTGGAAGTTTCCCAGTGTCCTCCTTACATGTTAGATAAAATCTGGGACCAGAAAAACTCTGCAAATCTGTTCAGCTATGTTCATTATTTCTCTGCTACATGATTTCCTAAGAATGAAAGCTTTTTTCCTTGTAATAGTTGAACCTTGTGTTTACATTAGGATAAAGGACAAAGATTCTTCTAAAGTTACTTGGCCTGGCAAGGTTACTTGGATCTAACAGAATGTCAGATGCTGGCTGCTATACCTGTAAAGCTAGAGAAAGCAGTCAGGTTTGGGGGGTACAAAGATGAACATTTGGAGCTAGGTGTGGATATCACAGGTCATCAATCCCAGGAAAGCAGAGACAGGCAGATTTCTGTGTGAATTTGAGGCCAGTCTGATGTACATAGTGAGTTCCAGGCCAACCTGGGCTACTTACTGAGACCTTGTCTCAAAAGAAAATAACAATAAAATGAGCATTTTGTGACACTGAGATCTTTCTGGCTCCAGTTCCACTTTGGCAGCATCCTGATCCCTGGCAAGCTTGGAGCCTACATAGGCCAAGCCATCTCTTCTCTCAGCCTGACTCCTTCATGAGACCCAGCTGCTTCCCTTATAGTAGCCAAACCCATGGCTACAGTTGAAAATTCAAAGCCAGATGGGTATAATCCAACCTGCTAAATGGGCAGAAGATACAAGGCTCTACCACACTGTAGTCTAGTCTTGCCTGAACATCTGAAACTAGGTTTTAGAGCATCTCTTATGTTCTTCTTTCATACGGATGAATTGTTACACATGTGGCTGCTTTACAAAACCTTTCTGTTTTTTAGTAATAATTAGCAAGCACTGTTTACTACCCTTACAGTCTGTAGTATGAGTGACAGCAAAGTATTCAGTAACAAAGAAAGTCCTGGCTTTTTCACTTGCTAGCTGTGTGATACGATTAGCCATTTAACCTCACTAAATCTGATTTCTACATTATCTAAATACTTTGTGTGTGGCCTAACACCTCTATAAATGTAGACATTTTGTACGTTTATGTACTTGGGGCTAGAGAGATGGTTAAGTGGTCATGAGCACTGGCTGCTCTTACAGAGGACCCTCATTCAATTTGCCGGTAGCTTACAACCACCTGAGACTCTAATCCCAGGAGATCCAGTGTGCTCTTCTGGCCTCTTTGAGTATTAGACATACAAGTGGCACATAGATATGCATGTAGGCAAAACACTCATACACACAAAATAAAATAAATACAACTTAAAACTTTAAAAAAAAAAAAACCACGTATGTTCATGTACCAATAAGGAAGGTAACCAACCTCTCCACTGGTCCTCAGTTTGTAGGCAGCAAATTCAAAACCATATGAATTCAGTGGCACAGTCAGGATTGTACACCAAAAGACAAGAGACAAAGTAGACATCTGAGAATCTTGCTATATGTACTTCCAGGTTATCATTACTCCAAGAGTTGCTTTTTCTTTTCTTTTTTACCTTTATTGTGCCAACTAAACCATTTTTGTTTTAGATTTTTAAGTTTTATTTTTTATGTGCATGGTTTGGGCGTTTTGCTTGTCTCTCTCTGTCTATCTCTGTCCATCTCTCTTCTCTGTTTATCTCTGTTCTCTCTCTCATTCTTTCTCATTCCCTTTTTATTCATCTTTAAAACCTTCTGTGACCATTTCTACAACCATATCCATAGGCACTACATAGGATCTGCCTGTACTTCTTCTACGGTACTGCCCCCCTTCATGGGCCATAATTTGTTCACTCTTATCCACTGTAATTTTCAAAATCATTATAGTTCCTTCCAACAAAATTCTGCCCTTCATTGTAACACAGATCCTCCTCCTCTACCACATCTACCACCTTGGTTTCCATATCCTGGTTCATCACCAGCACTGTGCCTTGAGAACTATAACCAGGACTACCACCATAGTTGCCACTGTCACCTCCAAACTCATTATATTGATCAGCACCACCTCCACCACCACAGCCTCTCTACGACCATAACCAGGACCACCACCGTGTCCTCCTCTACAGCCTCCATAACCAGGACCACCACTGTGTCCTCCTCTACAGCCTCCTCTTCCACTAAAATTTTCACCATGACCAAAATCACCTCCACTACCTCCAAAGTTTCCTTCTTGACCTGTAAAGTTGCCAGATTCACCTCCACTACCTCTCCGTGATCCAGCAGATAGCATGTCTTGTTTAGAATTCCCTTCACCTTTATGACGATTAACTGTAGTGTTTCTAAACAGTTGTACCAACTGCAGCGTGACCATCAAGTTACAAAGCGAATCCTCCTTTTTCCATTCTTGCTTATCCTCCACAGCTTGTACGGTTTTGATCTTAACATACTTTTCTAAGTAGTCTCTCAAGTTACACTCTTCTGTATCTTCTTTAATACCACCTACAGAACTTCTCTTCACTCTTAACGAGCACCAGGCTTTACAGAATCCTTTCCAGAAACAGTTATCTCTGGTTCTACCACACCCCATCAACCTTGTTGCTCAAGCACACATGGCTGCATTTACTTCTTCAACACAAGAGTTAGTTCACAAAAAAAAAGCCCCTGGAATATTTTGTTTGGGAGTGTCTCTCACTACTCTGCTGTCTGTGTTCCTCATTTCTCAGAATATTCTCTTAAACTGTCACCTTGTTTTCAGACAGCTTCCTCAAGTGCTCTGGTTCCTTCAGATCACGATCTTCCTTCTCCTCCCCTCCCCTATCAGCATCAGTGAACAGTCAGGCTGGGGGGCAACCAGACAGCAGTGGTATCTCCATTTTGAGACCAGACTCAGAATCTATTTTTGGTTTTTGATTTTTATATTTATTTCTTTTTGTTTTTCAGGATTCCAGCCAGGCAATTCCTCTGGTGGTAGAAAGCTGTATCCGGTTTATTAGCAGACATGGTAAGCAGAAATACAGCTTTGCTCATATTTGTGTAAAAAGCAAGAACTTCAAAGAATCCTTTATAGAACAGAAATAGAGGTAGTTGGAGCTGGAGAGATGGCTCAGTGGTTAAGATCACTCACTGCACAGCCATGAGGACCTTAGTTCAAATTCCAAAACCTACATAACAAGGAGAACCGGGTCTTATGTACAACTGTAACTCTAATTCTGTGGGAAACAAAGACAGCAGGATCTCTGGGGCTTGATGGCTGCCACCCTAACCCTAAAAAGAAACCTATAAGATCTGGGTTTGGAGAAACGACACTGCTTCAAAGGCATGTCTCAAAGGCAGAGAGTATTAGAATAGAGAACAACCAACACTGTCCTCTGGCCTCCATACTGCACACAGGCACATGTACACACTTATGTGCATATACACCAGAGAGAGAAGAGAGATTGCCTTCCCATCCTCACATTCTTAGAAAAGGAATAAAGTCTTAACTCATTCATGTGCTGTTGACTTCTTCAGAAAGGTCATATCTACATCTCAGTAATAGACATGTTTTGACCTAGCCACTTACTCTTTTATAGCCCCAGAGTTTAAATCCCAGCGACTTTGTGAAGAAGAGTAGCTTGACTCCGTGGTGGTGGTGGTGGTGGTGGTGGTGGTGGTGGTGGTGGTGGTGGTAATGAAACCAGGAGTTATAGTCTTGGTGTATATAGATATCTTCTATGGCGTAGTCTAACCATTACTGAAATGTTTTGAAACAATTTCATCTCTGACGTTGCACTGATTGTATATATAATATTTGGATTTTTGTCTTAATTTGGTTTCATTGGATATAATGTTCCCATGAGCTCAATAACTGTTGTAAAGTTGTATTCACCTTTTGAGAGTCTTCAGGAACTGGCTCTTTCTTTCTCAACATTAGTCAAGTTGTACTTAATTACCAGCAAGTTTATTTTCCAAAGGTGAGAGAATATTTAGAATATCTATACTGGCCTTTAACTGTTTAGAAACTACATTAGAACTAGTTTTTAAATACTATAATGTCCATCCTGGAGCTAAGGAAGCCAGGTATTGCTTGTCTAATTTCCCAGGCACCTTTTTATTCTCTGTCTCTTGCTTGCCTTCCATTCTCCCTATACACTGGAATATTCTTAGATTCATTATTGAAACAGTAATTATTTTAGCATTCTTGTATCATATCCTAATCTCCATCAACTATAAATTTCTTTTATCTCAGTTCTCTTGAAGTATGAGCACTCTTCATCACTATTGAGCAAACAAGTATTTTATAAGCCTCTAACCAATGCTAAGCATCATGTATTGCCAAAAAAGAAAACATAAAGAGAAGTAACATACTAATCTTGTCTTTAAGTGGTTTTATGATGCATTTGGAAGAAAATAAGTAAGCAGATAATAAGTTAATGAAAAGAAATAAAGCAGTAGTAATTGATAGTAACAGAATAAGAAATTTTACAAGATAGCAGTAGTTAATACCAAGGAGCTGGAAAAGATGAATTCAAGCTGAGTTCAGTAGAATGATTGTTAGTTCCTAAAAAACAATAGGAAGAAGTTGTGGATTCATTCAATCCCCTATGCATTCATTTGTCCTTTAACACAAACCCTATATTGATTGCTTATTATAGACCAGTAAAAAAGCTCTTCCTGAAACTTCTGTTCCACTGAAGACCAAACATGGTCAGCCAGTAAACAAATTAACTAGCAATATTTCCAGTACTGATGTATGTTATGAAGAAAAGAAAAGCAGGGTGCAGGATGGGAAATGGAGAGAGGCACTGTTGTAGTGGGTCATGAAAAGCCCACACTTTGGCTGGAGTTATGAGGAAGGGGTAATCGATGTGTCCCATCTGAGGAAGAGTATTTTGTGGTGAAAGAACACAAAGTACAAGACCTTTTGACATATGTAAGAAAGTACACAGGCTGAAGCAGAAGAGTGAGGGGAGGTTGACCGGAGATGAAGCTACAGGCTAGTGCTTTTATAGCTTTGTTGGCTACAGTAGGTATATGTACATCTAGTGGATTCATAACCTTTGTTAGCCTCAAAGTAGTCTGTGGCAATGCAAATGCTAGGAGTTTTTATATCCTAACTATCATTGTATCCTCTGGTAGATAAATATTATAGTGCCCATTATAAAGATGAGGAAATTAACATTCTTTGTAGTGCAGTGTCAGGGTGATCCATGAGGACTTAGAGGAGGAGGAACCCGTGGAACCACTAAAATTAACCCTGAAGGGATTTTTTTTTTAAATCTATCATTTTCAAGAAAGGAATGTGAGGTGGTTGTTTTAACAGTCAGATCAAGAATTTTCTAGGAGAACAACTCTTAGCAACAGCTAAGTCCAGCAGGTTTTATGTCATTTTCAAATAGTTTACCCAAATCCAAGGGCATTTTATGCTTTCATGTTAGTTTGTGCTAAGAAAAACACAGACTAAAGATTATAGATATGTTATTTTGGTTATGCATTATACCAAAATGCCAACTGGTTTTTCCTTTCTAGAAAACTTATTGTTTCTCTTCTCAAAATTATCATAACACATACTCAAAAGATCTGTCTGGTGTGCCAGTGAGATGGCTCAGTGGGTAAAAGTGCTTGCCTCACAAGCCTGATAATGTGAGTTCAATCCTCAGAACATGGATCTCTACACATGTGACATAGCATACACATATGTGTACACACACACACATATACAAATAATAATAATGTCCTAATAGTAAGTGGTCCTAATCTAGAGAATCCATTCTCTAGGAGAACTGGAAACCAGACTGAAGTAGAGCTCAGTATTTTAGGCCAGTTGTCTGATTTCCAGCGAGCTCATCTGTCATTTGTTCTTTCCTTGGTCCCATAGGCCAAGGCTACATTTCCTTAGCCATCAAACCTACCCAGAAGTACTGAGCTGATCCTCTCAAAAAGTTGTGCACACTTTCCCAGCTAAAACACACCAAGCAGCCTGGTTTGAGATGACATTTCCTTATACTCTGTGTTTCCAGTAAGTCCTTGGGTATGTTTCTGCCAGAGTCTTGGTATTCATGATACGTTCTGTGTTTAAACAACAATTTCTGGCTCTCATACTCCATTTGGTAAGTACTAATATAGTACCATCATACTAGCATTGATGGGACTTTAGTGTTGCATTCTCTGAAGAATTTTTTTACCGATTACCTCAGAGGAACAAACAGCTCAAACCTTAGCTAGGTAATGACATTTTTTCACTTACTTTCAGTCAGATTCCACTATTTCAGTCTTGGTATACCTCCAGGATCTAACTAATTGAATACAGCTCCCCTCACCTCAAGGGCAATTATGAAATAGCTAACAAAATGTAGCCTTACTCTGTTTTGTTTGTCTAGAATCAATCTGAGGTTTCTATCAAGGTTTTGGAGGATCACAGAGAAATGTTGACAAAGGAGTTCTAGGCTTGGAGAAAGGCTGAAAGTGCTGATATAGCTGGAGATAGTAGTCAAGCCAATCAATAGGGATTGTTTCCTGATTTTTCTTAGTGGTTTACAGTTGCATGTGTGGTGCTCTCTGTACACTATGTCTAAGAACAGTCAGGCCAAGGTGGCTTCCTCCCATCCTCTGTGCATGCAGAGCAACAGGCTCTGTGTCTGACACTGAAAACTGAGTCTGTGTTTGCAACAAGACTTCCTTTTAGCTTTGGTCCTGGTTCTTCGTGTCATTGTTCACCAGTCCCCTCATCTAGAAGATGGGATTACTGCTAACCTTGCCTTTATACGGTTATATGAGGACCAAATACTTTCTAAGAAAGCATTACTGGCAGTCATTAGATAGCATTGTTTTTCATGACTATTTCTACTCCAGCAAAGTCATGAAAGATAATATTTTGTACACTTCATAATGCACTATATACATGTTTTCTTTAAAAAAAAAAAAGACAGCAGTTAGGGACCAGTGCCTAGGACAAAGACTAACAAAGCTGTCTACTGATTGGTCATTTTTGTCTTTATGTCTTCTGTTTTTTATCAGTTCAGAAATTTTTTCTAGAATACTGGGGATAGTGTTAAAATGCTAACGAAGTCATAACAACCCATTTTTCTCTAACCTCTCTAATGGTACCTAATGTTTTACCTGCCTCCATTCCTGACTGTGTGCAATAAGAAAGCACCAACAAGTGGCTTCCCAACTCTACAGGTGGGAACAAAAAATGAAAGGTGGAGAGGCCGCAGCCTCTAGTCTCCCTGTGAGCAAAGAAGCTGCGAACATCCCTTGGGCCTGATGCTTCCCTTACAACCAATGCCTCATAATCCTCCTCCCAGAGACTTGCCCAGCATCAGGGCCCTACCTGTTTTTTCTCCTTTGTCCTAAAAAAAAGACAAAGACATGGTACCAGTGGAGATGGGAATTCTAATCCCATCTTTATGGGATTTATGGTTGTGAACTTGCTGTTTCTCACTTTGAGCACTTTATTTTGTGTGTTTCTAGGCCTACAACATGAGGGAATTTTCCGGGTGTCTGGATCACAAGTAGAAGTGAACGACATAAAAAATGCCTTTGAGAGAGGTGAGGTGGGAATAAAAGCCATAAGATAAGACTAAATGTTTGCCAGCCCGAGAGCTGGCTCCACCTTTTCCTGTAGAGTTCTCTGTGCTTATAAAGCCAAGAAATTGCCTGCTTTCTCTGTACTTTCAGTAGATACACAGAGAGATATTGGGTCATGTCCCAGCTTCCTTCTTTCTTAGCCCCACCCATCCTGCCTCATTCCTATGGTAATCTGCCAGAAACCCAGGTCCTCACTATATATTCAGGCGGTTTATAGCCTTATCCAGAACCCTTGGTAGCACTTAATATCAAGGCTAATGTGCCTCTTCATTGTATCCCATTTATCATCTTGTGTTCTATTAAGGGAATGGGCAAGCTTTGGCAATTTCTGTCACTGTAATTGATATATATAGTTTCAATTTAGGGTTGGTGTTATCATTAAGTTTAATTACACTTGATATGAAATTTTCCATGGGGATTCTGGGATGACTGTTCTGTCGGTGGGTGTTCTCTGCTATGGTAGTCAGAGAAACTGGCCTCCTAGCCTTGTTTTCCCTCCACCAGAGGCTCAGTCTCCTTTAAGTTTCATGATTCTTGTGAAACAGTTTGTGGTTTCTACCTCCCAACCTACAGGGAATGTTCATTAGCTTCAACAGTGCCACATCGTGGCCATCCATCCTGCTGGGTAGAGAGGTAATGAGATGCAGATGTAAATAGGTCACCCCTCCACCATCTCTGCCTCAGCCTCTGTGATTTGCCTAACTCTCTTTCTTTCCTTTTGGGATGGGGGCTACCTGTCTCCAGGAGAGGACCCCCTGGCTGGGGACCAGAATGACCATGACATGGACTCCATAGCTGGTGTCCTCAAGCTTTACTTCCGGGGCCTGGAACACCCGCTCTTCCCCAAAGACATCTTCCATGACTTGATTGCCTGTGTCAGTAAGTATCATTATGCCCCATGAATGACAGCAAGATACTTGGAAATTTTCGTCAATTTATTTCCTTATAAGCTTTTCAGTAAAGTTTTTTTTTAATGTATTTCTTCCAGTGAGTTTCTCCTCTTTATTTCCACTGTTTTATCCCTAATAGTGGAAGAGAAAGAATGATTTAACAGTCATAGTATAGAATTCAAGTCAAGACTCCTGGCTTTTTTTTTTTTTCTAATTTATCTCAGTCATTAATTCCTCCCTATCTCTGTGTTTTGTCATTTTTAGTAAAATGCTTTTATATTCATTCATAAGATCCAGTCTTGTCAGATACTTGAAGCTTATACACAATGTCGGGGCTATTAACAGGACCAGAGAAAAGTGTAAACACTGGCCATGCTCCCTGCTTGTTGTTTTATATGTGCCATGGCTTACCTGCTACATATATCATTTTTCACATGTGTCTGGAAACAAGAAAAGCCCTTCAATGCACTTAAAAGTACCATTTAATATTTTCCCAGAGAAAGATCTCTGTTTTCACTAAAGTTCTCTGTTAGGGATTAGAAAGCTGTTCCTATGCATTTAGCTTAGTCAGTGATACTGAAGCATCTATCACTTGATTCCATGGGAAATCTATGGAAATTTAAAATAATATCAAGTCATTTATGTTTTATTGCTGTGATAAAACATAGTAACCAAAAGCAACTTGAAGAAGAAAGGGTTTATTTCATCTTACACTTCCATCACTAAAGGAAGTCAGAGCAGGAACTCAAATACAGTCAAACCTGGATGTAGGAACTGATGCAGAGGCCATGGAGGAGTGCTGCCTACTGGTTTGATCCCTGTGGTTTGCTCAGCCTGCTTTCTTATATGACTGAGTCCACCAGCCACCCACAGTGAGCTGGGCCCTCCCACATCAATCAAGAACTCACTCCACAAGTTTACCCACAGGCTAATCAAAGGGGGGCTTTTTCTCAATTGAGGTTCCTGCTTCCCAAATGACTCTAGCTAGTGTCAAATTGACATAAAGATAGCCAGTACAGAGAGACCTTATCTGAATGGTGGCCCCAGAAGGTGAAGGGAGTAAATGCTGGGAAGGTCTTTTCCCTGGTTGAACAAGGCCTTCATGCGTCCTGAATTTTCAGTTTGCTTACTATTTGGATTGGATACTTACCTGTTTCTCTTTCAGTCCTGAGAAAAGCCTGGACGTCTAGAATGCTAGTTCTCTTTCTTGTCTATATGCTTGTGAGAGTCTAATGGGAAGGAGTTAGGTGACAGTTACAAACATGGATTACTTAGGTCACATCTCATATCTTTTCCAAGACTGGACCCAAGTGAAGTCCCTTACATTGGGCTGGAATTGCCAAGACACACCAGATTCTTCAGCTGCCCAGTTCTTTCTTATTCTAATCCAGTATTTGCTATTTCTTATTCACATATAGGCTGCCAGATCATGTTTGTATTGTCAAACTGTGGAAGTCAGAGGCTGTTCATGACAGAGGTCATAGCATATGACCAAATCTGAAACTAACCTGACCACAGCACAAAAACTAGGAATCTTCTCTAGTGTTCTTCACAGATTTTATTACTTTTCCAGAGTCCTGCAGTCTTCTCCCTCTACTCAGTCTCTGCTCACATCTCCTTTAGATAAGGGAGAAGGAAGCCAGACTTATCTAGAGGAGGAAGAGATAACTATGTACAGAGGGGTCAATAAAGGACTTCCACAGCCTCTGTCCCTTCTCATGTGTAAGGCCCTTCAAGATTGATTATTTAACAGTCATGACAGGTTTATCATAAAATAAATACCTCTTTGCCTCCCTTAATCAGTAAGTAGCCTTCACAATGAAAGACTTGGCTTTGACTACATACAGAACTTTCACAAACACAGAGACAGCAAAGAAAACTAGCATCCTAGATGCCCCAGATCTTTCTCAGAACAACCAAGAGGAGCAAGTAAGTATTCAGTCCAAATGCTGAGCCAAATTGAAAATCCAGGAGGCATGAAGGCCTTGTCTATGTGTATCATTGTTTAAATTAGAGGGGGAATATATCCAACTCCTTCTGTGCCCATGATAGACCTTGAGTCTGTATTAGTCAGGGTGTGGGTCCCTTTTGAAACAGTCTCATCCCACAGAACATCCAAGAGGAAGCTCCTGTCACTATCCCAGGGCTGTGTATGGGACAGTTTTGCTCGCTTTGTGAGTTATGGTGCTGGTGATTGCAGTCATGCTAGAGGATAACATGCCTTTTTTCTTTCAGCAATGGACAACCTGCAAGAGAGAGCTGTGCATATCCGGAAAGTTCTTCTGGTCCTGCCTAAGCCCACTCTGATTATCATGAGATACCTCTTTGCCTTCCTCAATCAGTGAGTAGCCTTCACAGTGAAAGACTTGGCTTTGATTACACAGAACTTTCACATGAATCTATGTCTAATCGTCCAACCTAACAGACACTTACTGAGAATCTACCGTTCACCAACTACAGTGCTAGGCTATTAAAAATACACTGTCAAATGGAAAAAAAAAGCCTTTTAACATTAGCTCATGATCCAAAGAAGGAAACAGACAATAGTCAATACTTCAGGTAGAATAGCTGCTAAGGGAAAAAGAAGAGCAAAGATGGGAACAGAGTTCAGGGGTCATAATGGACAAAAGATAAAGGAAGAAGAGCCAATTTAGAGATGTGCTTGCCACAAAGGCCTCTCTGGGAAGACAGAGTACAAGCAGTAGTCTGAAGGGTGAGGAAGGAGCTCTAAGGACATTGAAGATTTGAGAGGTATAGTGATAGTAGGTTTGAATTTGGGAAATGACTTAAAGCCTTTAAAGAGAAAAATGGTATGATCTTGATTTTAGGTATTTATTTTCTTTTTTTGTTTGTTTGTTTTTGTTTTTCGAGACAGGGTTTCTCTGTGTATCCCTGGCTGTCCTGGAACTCACTCTGTAGACCAGGCTGGTCTCGAACTCAGAAATCCACCTGCCTCTGCTTCCCAAGTGCTGGGATTAAAGGCGTGCGCCACCACCGCCTGGCCGGGTATTTATTTTCAAACATGCCAATTAATTTGTGCAGAAGTTACTGCAGAGGATCAAAAAGAAAAGAGACCTACTTCAAGGTTGTGACATGGTCTAGCTGAGGTGATAGTAGACCAGAAGGTAGCACAAAGGGTCGGGCTTCGGACATACTTTAAACACAGCATTGACACACAGGACCTGCTTATAGGCTGGGGGAGGCAAGAGAAATCCTAAACTCTTTGCAGAACATAAGGGCAGTTATGAAATTAGGGAACAAGGAATAGAGAAAAATACTGAGACAGGTGCTGATGTGGGCCAGGTAGTTCCACACGTTTGTTTTGAGTGCAAGAGGAGGTTTTTCAACAGCTAACCGTAGGAGCCTGATCTGAGAAAATCCTGAAGTGGAGATACCAGTGTGATAGTCACCTCTAATAAATGTGGCTGGAGAAAAGTCTCAGGACCAGAGGGGCCATGGGCTTAGATGGGACATTTCTTATTCAAGCAATGCATGCTTGGCTGGGACAGGGAGGTGTCCCCATGTTGCATTAAAGGCAGGAATCAGAAGCATGCACCTTTTAAGCACTTCTGTCTTCATTTTACTCAACAATCTAGAACAAAGATTATAACCTAAAGGCCCAAGAAGCACTCCAGTATATTTCCTTTGGATCCATTGTGTCTTAAAAACATTAAAACAATATTTAACTGTTTAGAAATCCTACTTTTTTTTTTTTTTTTTGGTTTTTTGAGACAGGGTTTCTCTGTGTAGTCCTGGCTGTCCTGGAGCTCACTCTGTAGACCAGGCCTGCCTCTACCTCCTAACAGCTTTTCAAAAGCTAGTTTTAAAAGTAGGTTTTCTGCCGGGCAGTGGTGGCACACGCCTTTAATCCCAGCACTTGGGAAGCAGAGGCAGGTGGATTTCTGAATTCGAGGCCAGCCTGGTCTAAAGAGTGAGTTCCAGGACAGTCAGGACTATACAGAGAAACCCTGTCTCGGGGGAGAAAAAAAAAAAGAAGAGGAGGAGGAAGAGGAGGAAGAGGAAGAAGAAGAAGGAGAAGAAGGAGAAGAAGAAGGAGAAGAAGAAGAAGAAGAAAAGCTGTTAGAGCTAACATTACTAGACCTGTATTCTTATGTGGCAGCAATTTCCTATAACAACAGGGCTGTCTACTGGGAGTGACATAGCTTACCTTGGTCCCCAGCCTTCTCCATGTTGTCATCTATCATCATGCAGGCTCTAGGTTTCCATATAGCCAAGAAGTAGTTCTTTGGATTCCTGAATCCATCAAAACAGGGAAACAAAAGATAAACCAAAGGGGTTTGTTTTAGTTTCAGCACGTACTTTGTGAATGTGAAGTCTTCATACATATATAGTCTTCATTTAAAATGACTACGACTTTAGAGTCCATTTCATGGGCCCCATCCTGTTTACACCTTCATGATTGGCCTGGCCTTATAGGCATCTTGATTAGTGGCCCCTGCCTAAGACCTTATTAGAAAACCCTCATTATCACCAATCCCACTGTAGAACTACAGAAATCCTAGCTCTATAGTCTTCATCCTCCCCAAGCTGTGTCTGACTGAGTCCTAACTCAGCATCCCATCAGCCCTTGAGATGAACTCCTCATAACTCATCGATGTGCTTATGCATAGCCTGGAAGCACTGCTCACTACTCTCTGGCTAGTCAGTCCCCTCAGGGCCACAAGTCACTGCTTGTTCATGTCACCATGCCCATGCTTAACCTGAGCCTTGTTTGTCCCCCATGAACTAGGAGCATGACAAGGGCAGCCAACTGGAGCAGCTGGTAGAGGCAGAGAAGACATAGATTAACTGTTATCTTTCCCTGGATTTGCAGAGGAGAGAAACAGTAGAGTAACCACAATCCAGTATAAGAAGAGACTGGCCATGATTGAAAAACTGCACAGAAATATTACTAATTCCAATTATTAATTTGTTTGTATATATATATATATATAATTTTAAAAAATTTATTTTACTGATCAACAAGTTTTTACGTTGAAAAGGCAAAGTCTCCATGGGAAAATGACAACTGCTAAGTATGTAGTTGCCAGCAGTTACAGCAGGAGCTGGCAGCTGCTTCCTCATGGAGCCCTTACCTGGACCCACACTTTGGGAATGCACACTTTAATGCTGACGTTTTTAAGCTGATGTTTATTCTTGGATTGTACACATATTACATCTCAGAAAACCAAGCTAACAGTATCTATGGGTTGCTTCTTCAGCTGAAGGTTAGCTGTTGACTTTAGCCCTAGGTATCACTTTATGAAGACAGTGTTGGGTTAGAACTATGGGTCTCATCTGAGTGTTCACCTTGGAGAACTTGTCTCTAAGCTTCCAAATTGCTACTTATCTATACAGTAGGATATTGTTTAGCCATAAAAAAGAATGACATATTGGTTCATGGTACCATACAGGTGAACCTTGAAAATACTGTATTGAGTCAATGAACTAGACACACACAAAACACTCAACATTTTAAGATTCTATTTCAGTTAAATTTCCAGAATAGCCAAATTCATAGAAATAGAAAGTAGATTCCTGGTAGCCCGGAACTGAGAGGAGTGTTGGAAAGTAACCATTTAGTGAATACCAGATTACTTTCAGGGATGATGAAAATGTTGTGCAAATTAGAGGTAATAGTTATATAACATTGTGAATATGCTAAATGCCACCTAATTGTATACTTTTATTATTATTTCTATTTAGAATATAATGTGATGGGTTTCATGATGATCTTTTCATACATATGTATCACTTTACTTTGTTCTTATTTGTCTCCATTGCCCTCCTCCTCTTCTTGCCAGTCATCTTCCTCTCCCAAAAGCCCCTACATCTGTCTCCATGTTACATATGCTCCACTACCCTTCCTTTTGTCCCTTCTCTTCCCATTAGGCCTTCTCTTCTCTCCTCATCCCTTTTCTTTGTCATGACCTACACACACACACACACACACACACACACACACAACACATGTACACATGAGTAGAAAAGAAAGGTATATTGAGAACTTGTTGCATATCAGTCCAAAAGGCTGTCATCAAGAAAACAACCAACTATGAAGCTTGGTGTTCTTGTAGAATGCCCAACAGTGGGAGCGGGGCTGTCTCTGATTTTTTTTTTTTTTGCCTGCTTTTGGGACCCTTTTCCTGCTACTGATTTGTCTCTGCCAGCCTTAATGTGAGGATACGTGCCTGGTCTTATTGCAAATTGTTAATACTGTCTTTGGTTGATGTCCCTGGAAGACCTGTTTCTTTCTTGGGGGAAGTGGGGGGTTGGGGCGGCTTGTGAGGAAAAAGGAGGTTGGGAGTAGAGACTGGAAGGATGGGAAACTACAGTCAGGATATAATATATGAGAGAAGAAAGAAAGGAAAGCAAAGGGAAAGAAAGAACAAAAAAGAAAGAAAACAAGGGACAGTAAATGTTGGCGAAGATGTCAGGAAAGAGGAACTCTTACATGAGATTGGAAGGAGTGTAAACTGGTATAGACACTATGGAAATCAGAATACAGTGCCACAAAATACTAAAAGTAGAACTACCACATGACTCAGCTAAAACATTCCTGGGTATATTCCTGAAGGACTTTAAGTCAGCATATACTTGTATATGTATATACACAGGCATGCTTGCATTTCCATGTTTCCTGTTGCACTATTCAAAGTAGCCAAGATATGCAACTAGCCTAGCAGTAAGTCTGTCAACAGATGAAGGTAAACATGATATTTTATTAAGGTATAAAGAAGAATGGAATTATACCATTGGCAGGAAAGTGGATAGGAACAAAGATCATTGTTTGAAGCAGAAACCACAGAGGAGTGGTGGGTACTAGCTTCATCCCATCTGCAGTAACATTTCTTTAAACAGTCTAGGCTTACCTTTCTAAAGATAGCACTGCCCACAGTGGGCTAGCCCCCTGCATCAATTACCAATCAAGAAAATTCCCCAGATATATGCTCATAGGCCAGTCTGATGAAAACAATTCTTCAGTTGAGGTACCTTCTTCCCAGATGTGTCAGGTTGACAACCAAGATCAGCTATCACAGGTTCTTGCTCTTTTTTTGGTTCTGGTTTGGTTTAGTTTGATATCTAATGGGAACCAAAAAATGGACATAGATTCACAAGGCTATGGTTCACAAAGATTTGTCCTCTTCCAGAGTCTTTTCACTGTAATCTCCTATGAATAGAACAGTCTTTTCAGGGGTGAGGACAGGACACTTCATCCGTCCTTCATTGTGTCATAGAATTCACTCAGGTTTTGTGAAAGTAGAGTGTTTCTCTATGACTATCACACATCCCAGGAACTATGGTTTCTTACTGTTACTAAGACACTCTCAAATCACATTAAAGAAACAAGGCTTTGCTAAGTTTATTGTCTCTGTTAGAGCTAGACCTGACTAGCCAAATGTGGTAGCCTATGGCATCTCAAGTGTTGTGTGGGTCATTTCTGCTCGGGATACTAAGATAATAATCTCTCTTGTCTCCAGTTTTAATCTGATGATTATATATTTCCCCAGTCTTTTCTAAACCTGTTTCCTTTAAGTCAAGGCCCAGAGAAGGATTTTAAAATTAAATGTCTAATAATGAATGTCTAAATGTCTATGAGCTGGATGGAATGGTATAGAACTGTGAACAGCATTTGGAAGGCCAAGACAGGAAGACAATGAATTTGAGGCCAGACTGGGGAATGTAATGAATCTCTGTCTTGAGCAAAGACAAACCAATTCGTGTAGCCATCTAGCGACTGAGATGTTACCCGTTGCTGCTGTCCTCTCTGTCTTTAGTTTTGGTATTGTGGAATAGTGCTTCTCAGCCACTACTGTCCATGGCAATTGTTCATACTTCATGCCATCTCTAATGTCCTACAGTGATTATAGAAGAATCACAAGGTGCACATCATATTCTCCAGCAGAGAAGAAAGCCAGTTGTTAGAGGTAAACCAGCTTTGTTACATAAGTCTGGATGTGGGTCACACTAGAAATAAACTTCACCCAATCCAGAAGAATGGCAGTGGACTCCAAAGGCTCTAGTTCCTTTTCAGGGTCTATCAGAATTGGACACTGAGAACCTACTGCTGATGACCTTAGGAAGGCCAAACTCCTCAGCAATGTCCATAGCCCTTCAAGCTTTGCAGAGGATGTACTCAAAGTCAGCCCAGGCTTCTGTGCTAGGATAGGCACTTAATTAGGGCTTACTCACAGTTTCAGAGGATTACTTCATTGTCATCCTGGTGACAGAGAAAATGGTGGCATGCAGGCATGAAGACATGGTACAGGTAGCTGAGAGTTCTACATCTAGATCTGCAGGCAGCAGGCAGCAGGAAGAGAAAGCCAGGGCCTGGCTTGGGCTTTTGAAACCTCAAAGCCCACCTCCACTAACACACTTCCTTCAACAAGACCACACCTACTAGTCCCTTTTAAGTAGTGCTACTCTCTGCTGACTAAATATTCAAATATATGAGCTTAAGGGGGCTATTCTCATTCAAATCACCACAGGTAAGGGCCCATGGGGGCTCCTGGCATGGTGATAGTTGAGTATTTGGGTCCTTGGCCAAGGTTGGGGTGTGACTAGAACAGCTGCTGGCTGAGAGTGGAGAAAAAAAAATCTCTAAATAAATAAGCAATAACAAAATTAACCTATGTCCAAGGGAACCCCAAACAGAATATAAACAGAATGTATGATTAATTCCTGGATGTAATAATAATACAAGGGGATATTATGAAAATGTTAAACAATTTCATTAGCTATTCTAGAAAGAATTTGTTGTCCTGGTGGAATGAAAAAATTAATCAGCTGACTATATTTGTTAAGTAGAGAATTTGGAATAGAAAATGCCCAGTAACTTGATTCTTTTGTATGCATGCATGAAAGCACATGATACACAGTTCCTGTGTCCTGTGCTGATTTCCCAGAGCAAGCCAAGGGCCCCATCTGCTCTGAGAGTTTAGTGAATTGGTCTGTGGGAGCCGTATCCAGTTCTGCAGAGCGTTAGATGATCTGTTTCCAAAGATGGGTAGCTCTGATCCGTAAGGTCAAAGGTAAGGGTGAAAATGAGACTCCAGGATTCAAATGGGGAACTGGAGAAAGGGATCAGACCTGCAAGGAGGTCTTGCACCTTTCCTTTCCCTGGCTCTGGAATAACCATTAGTAGTGGCTCTTCTCCCCAGCTTATTTTCCAGAAGGCCTCCAATGCCCAGAAAGGCAGGTGGTAGTTTGTGGACTTAGTCTTTCCTTCTGGCAGTGCCTCTTGTGTTTGTGTTTTCTGGGCATTCATGTGAAAGCTTTCCAATTTCCCCTCTCTCTTCTCTTCCAGCTTATCACAGTTCAGTGAGGAGAACATGATGGACCCCTACAACCTTGCCATCTGCTTCGGGCCCTCGCTGATGTCCGTGCCAGAGGGCCACGACCAGGTGTCCTGTCAAGCCCACGTGAATGAACTGATCAAAACCATCATCATCCAACATGAGAACATTTTCCCAAACCCCAGGGAGTTGGAGGGTCCCATCTACAGCAGAGGAGGAAGCATGGAGGATTACTGGTAAGGGCCCAAGGAGGGGAGGAGGGAAGAGAATACCTGATAATCATGGCTGTCGGGGCCAGATGGTCAGGCAAAACCCAAAGGAAAATACTTCCCACCTCCACCTACAGGTTCTGTAGGTTGCTAGGGTCTGGTCGTTCTCCCATCTTGAACTCACCCACAGAATAAGTGCCACTTCACCCACCTCCCTCTTTGAAATGAGTATTGTGTGACTAGAGACCATCTTAAAAAATAGTGACATTAATAGCAGTTTGCAAGGAAAGGAGAGTTTATAAAGTAGTGTTTAGACCAACTGTTCATCAGGCAGCGGTGCCCAAGCTGTGTATAGTGAGGAAAACAGAGCTGGGTCCCAGGGAATCCTGCTCTTAGGAGGAAGAATCTGTATATTAGACCGCCTCTTTCAGACAAAGGAATCATTTCCAACGATTGGAATACTAGTTCCCTTTTTCAGATGAAAAAGGTCAGTGCAGTGTTTCAGCCCACCCTAGTGATTGGGGATCACATGCTTTCTAGGATCAGGCTCCATCCAGCACCCCACTTTACAGGTGCCCCCACACCACTTTACAGTGCCATTCTTCACTGACTACAAAGGCAGCTGCCTTTTGACCCCTGGTGTCTCATTCCTCCTCCCTTCTTCTCTAAATGATTTTCAATAGAAGCTGAAGGCACAAGCCAACCCAAATCAGATTCCATCTAAGTTGACATCTGGAACCAATCCTTCTAGCCCCATTACTATCAACCACAGTAGGAGAGGGCAAGGCGTATGTTTACTTAATTAGCAGTCGGTTGGTCCATGATTTTCCATGACCCTCTCAGAACCCAAGGAGTGAAGAAAATAACATTTGTGCCTCTATAAACTTCTTATGGCATCCTTGGGTCTACTTTCTCCTGGACTTCAGATCCTTGGCCTGCATCTAAGCTGGGAGAACCTCAGGCTGGCTTAGAGACAAAGCCTTCTGTGGCTGACAAGTGGATCATGGTGACTGGGCCTGTTGATCAGTTGATCACCTAGTCTGTGAGCTCCAAGGATATATTTTCCTATACATTACTCCCCTTCGCATGAGTAGTTAAAAAGCTATGGGATGATTCTTCAGTTCTTACCTTTACCTGTAAAGTTAAATATCAAATCACCACAGGTTCTGGACCAATGAAAGTGGGAGAAGTGTAGTGGTCCCAGGTCCCTGATCCCCAGTCTCTACCCAGGGAGCAGAGACCAAAGAGTGTGGTTCATTAGAACACACACAGAAACTCTTTCTTCTAGTCTCAGCCCTTACCCCTTGTGTTGTTTATGTGATATTTATTAGTGGCCTTTGAAAACATCACACAGGTAATCAGGAACATTTGTGCCACTGTCCCTGCCCTTGGGCCAGGAGCATCAAGGAGCATTGTCATTGACCTAGCTCCTGACTTCCCTCTTTAGGAAGAAAGATACTATCACAGTGAGCTAAGGCAGTGAAAAGTAAGCCCCCAAATCTAGGAGAGTAGACAAGAAACCAGGACCATTAGGATGGAGCACCAGCCTGCTTAGCTATTCCACAGATATGAAAAAGTACATTTCAGACCACCTACCAGTCCCCAGACTGGATTCTGGTTGCCTAGGCCTACTGCTGGGACCTTGGGCCTCAGGTGTTGATAGCGTTGGCCATGTTGTCAGGGCCAGGGGCACAGGAAGGGAGAAGCATGGGATCTCAGGCCTACATAGAACCTCAGAAAGTATCATTCCTTTACCATGGTGCAGATTTGAAAGTGGGAAGTGCAGACCAACAGCTCCAGATCCTGTGGGACCAGAATGAAATGCAGATTCTCTAGACAGATTTGTGACTCAGAAAAGCTTAGAGTAGGATAAACAATGCGCGCTTGTTAGCAAGCCCTCCAGGGCTCCCTGCAGTTTAAATACTGATGCTTTGATGCCTTAATCGTTGCACAGGAATGAACTTCACCCTGGGATGGTCTTTAGGCCCAGAAAACAGTAAGGAATTATTTCCTCTTTCTTTCTTTCTTTCTTTCTTTCTTTTCTTTTCTTTTCTTTTCTTATCTTTTCTTTTCTTTTTTTTCTTTAAAAACAAAAAAGATCCCTTTTGATGTTCTACCAGAGTATTCTCTGGAAGTTAAGAGCCCTCCTTAGAACTGGTTTGTTGCCTAGTCTTTAAGGGGCTTCTTAGATGCGTACTGGGCAGGGAGAGGCAGGCTCTATATGTGGTGCTTACAGGCCTGCCTGCCTGGAAGGGTATGCTTGATGTTTCCTACTGCCAGAAGAGAAAACTTAAGTCAGGGTCAGAAGGTTTTTTCTGCTCTTCAAGAATGTCTATCTCCTCCCTGAGCCAGAAGATAAGAGAAGAAACATATCCATAGCAACTTCTAGCTATTCTCAGGTCTCTGCCTTGGATGATTTAAGAGAAGATAAAATTTTTAAGGACTAGGCTGAGCTTTCATCCACTGGCTTCCAGTAAAGTCCACTCTCCAGCAGATCCTTTACCTTTGCTCTGGTTCCACTCATCCTCCACTCACTTCCTACTCTCTCATCAGTGCCTAGGCCAGTGAATCATGAGGTGCCCTAGGGGCATCAAGTGAAAGGAAGAAGGAAAGGAGGTCACACTTAGTGAGCACCCCTCTTGCCAAAGCCTTCACTAAATTACACCGGTGACGCCTCACACACCTCTGTATCTGTTTTAAAAGTAACTACAGCAAATGTCGCTATCAAATATAAGAGCTGGTTTTCAGGTCCAGTTGTCCCTTGCTACAAAAAACAGGACCATTCTTCCCTTCTGCCTTGCTCCCTCCCTAAACATCAGGAGTGAGTTCATGAAGAGAATTGACCTCTGAGTAGTTGAGTTGTGTTTTCTAAAGAGTTTGCTTGTAACTCCAAAGCCTTCTTTTTCTCTCAGGGCAGTCCAAGTCTCAAGTAGTGACAATTGGTTTGGAGAACAGAAGCTAAACTAGAGAATCAGAGATCTTTTATTCTTAGCAGTTGGTGGCTGTGTACTTAGAGTCTAGCAAGCAATTGGTTTGATATAATAAAGGGGAGGAAAATTTTAGGAGCAAACAGTGATGTCCTGGTTACCACTCTTCTGTTTCAGTGACAGCACCCATGGAGAGACTACCTCTGCTGAAGACTCCACCCAGGATGTTACAGCGGAGCACCACACAAGTGATGACGGTATGCTGTGGGCTGCTGGTCAGTAAGCAGGCATGGTAGTGTATATTGTGCATTAGACCAACTGTGCTGTTCAGTGGGCCCTAAGGGGAAGAAAGGAGTTTCTTGTCTCTCCCTTCCTTGGAGGGGCATTCTCAAGTAAGAGATTAAACCAGAGGTGAATAATGCACCTCTTGTAGTCCTTCAGCTTCCTTGCCCCACCTCTTAGCTCCCTATCTAGCCTGAATCCAGTAGATAGGAGCTCCTAATGCTGCCAGGTTACTGGAAACCAAAGCAAAGCTCATTTGAAAACATCAAGCCTGGGGAATAGAGACGATGGGTGCCAAGAACTCAGCAGAAGCCAAGTGAGGGGGGTGGGAATGAGGACACAGAAACCACACGCTTGCATGCCTGCCAACTGGAAAATGTGACCCCTTCCAAAGTACAGATTTGTGTGTGCTGAGCAGCCTGTGAGTGTGCATCCAGGGGTGGAATGCTCAGCTGTCATCCTTGAACCCCTCTAGAGTGCTCATGATTTATTAGAGTCTGTCCAGCCAGCACATTTTCCCGGCTTCCAACAGCTCCACACCTCTGTTTCTGGATCACTTGGTCTCTGGAAGACTCAGCAGTTGACAAGGGCCCTCAGAATTTTAAGGGCAGAAAAAGGAAATGGTACAGTCTACAGAGCTTTACCTGCACTCCTGCCTTGCTAGAAATCCTGCAATCTGGAGCCAGCTTTTGAAGGAGGGAGAGATAGGGCTTCTTGTTTAGATCCTGGTGTGAGAAGCATCAGGATGATCTATCTTTATGAGAGAAGTAGGTGTAATGAGAGAGTTCAGTATTCGCTAGAGCTGCCTTGTTCTCACACTGTTAGAGGTTTATCTCTAGCAAGACTGGTGGGGCAGCTGAGAAAAACCAAGGTCACGGAGCCAATTGCTGTATTTGAGGCTGTAGAGAAGGAGACAGAGGTTCTGCAGTGGAATCTTCAGCCAGCCCATTTAGCGGCAGACTTGCCACCCAGGGCTTCATGGGCATGGGCTTGTTTTTAATCAGCCATCCTCCCTGCTGTGGTATTTACAACCTAATTGTTCTATGTTTTGGAGAGCCTTCTACTTGCTATCTAATCTCTACTGCAACTTAGAGTGGATCAATGATGACAGCAATGATCGCATGTCACATGAAGGTGCACATGTCAATGAATGTGCACATACCACAGTGCTGGGCACTAGTCTAAGGCTTTTCACAGTTGTAACTGACTCCTCATAACAACTTCATGAAGAGGAGGACTAGTCCTGTCGTCTTCATTTTATACATAAGAGAAGCCCATGCAGAATAAACATACATTGCACTTACAAGCCCTTTTTAACTTTGCAAGTTATTTTCATATGCATTTTCCATATACTGGTTTTAAACCACTTTATATATTTTATGTTCTTCTGGGTAGACTGAATAACACAAGAAATTACCTAAAATATGGTACAATTTGAATGTTAGGTTGCTGATGAATTTACTATATAATCAGAAAACTGCTTAAAAGTATAGTATGTTAGGCTGGGTATAGATGTCAGTGGTGGAGTGTGTATCTTTGAATGCCCACAGATGAACCCCTGAGTTCAATTCTCAGTACTGCCCAAAAGAAATAAAAATAAAGAATGGATGCTAGACAATTAGCATAAAACTCTGTGGAATCACAAAGACGTTATCAGGGAAAGCAGTGTCCCTGTGTGTTACTGCAGGCAGAGGGGGGGAGTTGGGCAGGGCAGACAATGCCAGGCTGTTAGAGCTTTATGGATCCTGTGTGGCTTATTTTTTTTTTCACTGAGTTATCCTCCCACCACTGTTAGTAAGCTTTTCACCCAGTTCTGAGTCTGTAGATCCCAGAAACATGTGCTTCACTCTTCCCCATCCTTCCCAGAATGTGAGCCCATTGAAGCCATTGCCAAGTTTGACTACATTGGCCGGACAGCCCGGGAACTCTCTTTCAAGAAGGGAGCATCCCTGCTGCTTTACCAGCGAGCTTCTGATGACTGGTGGGAAGGCCGGCACAATGGTATAGACGGACTCATCCCCCATCAGTACATCGTAGTCCAAGACACGTAAGTGGAACCCTGGCACATTTGAGGGAGGTCCCTGATGCTCTGTGGGAAGGAGACTAATTCCCAAAAAGGTCCTAAGGCTTCATGTTGCTTGGAGAACACCCTGCCCCTGCAACTCAGTGGAGAATTGTTTTGATCTCTCACTTTCTCTTCTCCCTTAAAATTGCCACTTGATCCATTTGTTTTAGAAGCATGCCAGCCAATATTTATATGTATGCTCATTGAATAATAGCATGGACTTTATAATTTGACCATGCATTTTTTCCTTTCTGGGAAGATTAGGCTGAGAAGACATTTTGCTTTTCTGTCTTAGGGTTACTATTGTTTTAATGAAACACTATGACTAATGCAAGTTGGCCAGGAAAGGGTTAAGTTGGCTTTCTGCCTCCATCACCTAAGGAAGTCAGGACTGGAACTTAAACAGGGCAGAAGCCTGGAGGCAGGAGCTGATACAAAGGCCATGGATTACTGGTTACTAGATTGTTCATCAAGGCTTGCTCAGCCTGCTTTCTTATAGAACCCAGAACCACCAGCGCCCAGGATGGCATCACCCACAGTGGACTGGACTCTCCCCTGTTAATCACTAATTAAGAAAATGCCCTATAGGTGGATCTTATGGAAGCATTGTCTCAATTGTGGGGGGAGGGGTAGTAGCCTTCCCAGTGCTAAGATTAAAGGCATGAGCCATCAGACTTAGCTTCTCTTTGTAAACCACTGTGTACACCCCAACCTGCTGAGCCATTGATAGTACTTTCCCACCTGCAAATGAAAATTGACAGGTTATTTTTTAGGAGAAATCTTTTTAGAAAGAAAAGGAAGTCTTGTGAAAGAAGCATGGAGGAAGAAGGATTTCAGAGAACAAGAAACACCAGAGTTGGCTCTAGAGGTCTTACTGGATAGCCTGTCTGTTGGTTCCCACCCTTTGAAGCAATGCCTCCTAGGCAGAAAGTAGCGAACCTTGTGGCTTACACATACCTGCCTTCCTTTGCCCTGCCTCAGCCCCACACCTCTCCAGGATACAACATTGTCACTGTTTTAGTCCTCCCCTTACTATTATCTTTTTAAAGGTTGATATCCTGAGTCTGCACCCTCCCAGCCTCTCCCGGGCTTGTTCTTCGGGGAAATCCTCCCTGTGTTGATAACATCTCAAACCTGGTGGCAGTCTATGCATGGACAGGACTCTCCCAAATTTAGCACTATGACTTCACTACGGGATAGAGAGAAGATGAACTGTGGGGGATGTACTTTTTCATCAGTAGCCAGAGAGGCCAGGAGAGCAATGGAGAGACCTGGGACCGTCTTGAATGCTCAGAGTGAGGCTACATGTGCTACGACAGTGTGGCCATGTGTCCACACCATGCCTCATCGCTGGCATCTCCCTCCAGAGCCACTTCAGAGCTGCCTGTCCTTACCAGAAGTGTTCAGAACCTCAGCAGATAACTGGACCTCACCTCCTTCTCCAGGAGGTGGTCCCATCGTGGCCACCCCACAAAAGCAGCATGGGCCCAAAGGCAGATGTTTTGAATCCACGTGTCCCCTAGACAAGCTTTTCTGAGGATTTGAGAATCAAATAGAACTCAGCGAACTATTTATTTATTTAAGTGACCCTCCAAAGGCCCTCAGGTTCCCTTGCCTCTGCTTACAAAGCTAGCCCCAGAAGGGGATTGCTGCTGCCTCCACACTGTGTGAGGTTATGTGTATGTCCAGAGGGGCCATCTTGCTGATTTAACACTGCTATTTGTGTTGTTTTCCCCTCTCCCTGCCTGCCTGTCCCTTCTGTCCCAGCGAAGACGGTGTCGTGGAGAGGTCCAGCCCCAAATCTGAGATTGAGGTCATGTCTGAGCCACCTGAAGAAAAGGTGACAGCCCGAACGGGGGCCAGCTGTCCCAGTGGGGGTCATGTAGCTGATATTTATCTTGCAAACATCAACAAGTAAGCGCTGCTTTCCATTTTCTGCTCCCCTAAATGATTCACTCACTCAGCCTCACCCCTAGCCTAACCCCACTCTGCTCTGTGCTGTACGCAGGGCTCCCAGCTCCCCCAGCCTAACAGTCTTCATGTGATGTTTGCTGCTGCAAGGTGTGTGGCCAGGCTGAGGAGAGGAGGCTTATGTGGGTCTGAGGGCAGGCCCCAGCCTCCAACTGTCTGTTATCATCCTGTGGTACTCTGTGTGTTCCACAGTGTCTGTCTGCCCAAACTTCCTGGCAGTCTTAGCCAAACTTTTCGTCAAAGCTTTGGTCACCTTTGCAACCTGGTTTTGTGCTGTCTCTTCTATTTCTTATCAGTGCCTTCACTTTTCCAATTCTTATTCAAATAGTATTTGGTATCTTCTTTGACCCTTGTCTGTCTGAAGATTCAGAGTCTCATATGTCTTCCACCAAGCTAGTGTCCCACCATGTGGGCTTACTTAGATGATATGTGTCTGTTTCTCCCCATCCTGGATTCATGGCCATGGAAAAGAGAAGAGCACTGAGCCCAAGGGAAGCTTTGTCCTGAGCTCCTGAATCATCCTGTGACTTCCCTTTGCTCCCTTTCACACTAGCAGAAACCACTTTTCATCTTTTCCTATTGCTTTAGCACTGTGTATTAGACTTCCCTAGCAGTCCGTCTGCAGATCCCGCCCACCCCCCCTGTCCGGCAGGCTTACTCTCACCCTAGCTTTCATTGTGGCCATTGGCATTATTCTGAGGTTCTAACTCCATCCACACCTGCTGGCTATCTAGAGGGATTCCTCGCTCGCCCGCCCATGAGCTGCCGCCTCCCCAAGAGGCACTCAGGCTATTGGAGAACTAATCTCATCTCAAGGGGCCAGACACCAAGTCCTACAGACCTCTTTCCGCCAGACCCTGAACTGTGGCCCAGTGCCTGGAGGATGACAAGCCCCGGGGCACTCCTGGTGACGTGGATTGGAGATGAAGTACAGTTTGTATTCCTCCTGACTTTGGAGGGGTGAAATGATTTGCACTTTGATACCTTGTTAACCATAGCCTCTGGACACTGAGACTGGAAGGAGAATAAAAGATGCTTATTGTTTTTAAACTGCATGAGGTTGCCAGATCTCTTGGCTTTTTTCCAACCAGACAATAGAGGGGGTTGGGGGCGTGGTCCTTTCCTATCTCTTTACCCTCAAGTTCATCGATTTACTCAGCTCACTTACTCAGAGTAGTCATCATTTAATTCAGACCACTAAACAAAGTGAGGATTTTATACTTCCCTCCAGTCTGCTAGGAGGGCAAGTTAATAAAAAGTAGCTGGCAGCGTGGGTTTTTGTTTTTTCAATATTTACAAGTCTGTGTTAATTCTGAGCCTACAATCACAAGGACATAAGCCTATTAAACCAGAAACCAAGACTGGATGTTGAAGGGGAAGTTAGGTGTTTATGTACACACATTTACTTTTGCTTTTATGGTGTTGAGGACAGAACTGAACAAGTCACATATCCAGACAGAGCACTCTGCTGCCGAGCTACAGCTTCATCCCTGGCTATTAAATTTTAAGTCAGTGTATATTTGGTGCCATATATTACAAAGGAACTAGAGAGAACAAAGGCTGAAAATAGTCAAAAGATAGACATCAGGTAGAGCATTGAGGTGGTTCCCTTGAACTGCTTGCTTGGTAGAATCAAGATCTTATGATGAGTTTCCTGGGGACAGACCATAACCAAACCATGTCAACCTTTCCTAGGCACCAGCCAATCAGTGCATGAGTGACAGACAGCCCCGGTATGCCTGGCCCTTAGGAGCGAGTGTGCCGTTCTGTCTTCCTGACTACCTCTACAGCAGTCTTCCCAAGCAACTTCAGTTTCCTGATTGCCTTAGAGAACTCTCTCCTCCTGGACCCTCTCACCTGGTTAACTCCTCCTCACCCTCCAAGACTCAGTCTAGACATTACTTATTTAGGGAAGCCTTCCTGACACCCTAAGTTCCTTGAGGCTGAAAGAAAATGCTCTCATTCTGCATTCTGAAATGGCTTGAATTGTTGGTGCTTGGGGCTATGCCTGGTTCCTCCTTCAGGCTAAGCTTGTAACCAGCATCTCTGTCTTCCTCATCTTCATGGCCCAAATAGAGCCTGGGATGACACACTACCACAGCCTCCTAAATCTGCCCTCTCAGCAGTTCTGACTTGTGAGTCAGCCATCCTTGAGTGGAAAAAGGAAATCAGCAGAGTTCTTAGGGTGTGGCATTTCAATTTAATTCCACATCCTATATTAGCCATCTGCGTTGTGCCAAGCACCGATGCTAGTTATTCAGAGCTTACAGTCTGGCAAGGCAAGACCATATGGAAGGCAACTGAGATGCAGTCACATGCAAGCACTGAGGGAATATGGGAGGAGGAATCTCTCCAGTCTGTTGTTGGAGGCACTAGTGTCTGGAAAACTTGACAGAGGAGGGCTTATTTCAGCAGGGCCCTCCTAGACTAAAGAGCATCCTTTTTCTTGTTGAAAATGGCTGCCTTCCAAGGCTAGTCCTACCTAGCAGACACATTCTTAAGAGTGGCTGCCGGACCCAGAAATAGAAAGCAGACCTCAGCTGTAAGCAGTACAAGGACTTACTTAAGGCTTCAGAGATGGCCCCAATCTTCAGTCCTACCCTTGCCATCCAGAGACCCCAGCTCAGCTCGTCTTCCTCAGTAGATACACAAGATCAGAGCTACCCAGCTGCTATCTGAACTAGCAGCTCGATAGCATCTAAGATGAGGTCTTTTAAAATCTGTTTCAAAAAAATGAAACTATCCAGCAGCGGACAATACCCATATGATTAGGATCCTACTACACCATATCATTTGAGAGCCTTTTGTGGTATAAAATAAACTGGCCCATTGCTGGGTGACATAGGATTTGCATAAATGCCCTTTCCACTGTAGGAGCAGGCACACAGTGAACCCTCCGTCTGTGCCAAAAAGCAGTTCCTTGAAAAATCTTTTCCATGTCTATGAATAAGGAACAGCCTCTTGTTAGAGCCCAGATGATGACAGGCTCACTACAGATAGTTGAGCAAACCCCTCTGGAAGTGTTAACTCCTGTTACCAGCAGTTCTCCCCTCCTTGGTGATGGTGAGACTTCGTACCTGGGGCTTTGGGTTTCTGTTCAGGCAGGCAATGGAATGGGTCTTTTCGTGAATCTTTCTCCCACTAGAAACTTTCTCTTAAACAGGCATTTTTTTCTGACAGCTTCTTACATGTTTAGAACTCAAAGCTCACAACCACCGAGTAAGTATCCATTTCACTCTGCCCAGGTTGGGGGTTGGAAGGGAACAGATCCATAGAGAAAGCAAGAGAAAGAAATACTGAAGAGTTAGGGGATTCTATTTGACTCTCTTTAGAAGTCCCAGGTGCCAGCCTCTGCCCTCTGTCACAGTCCTAGCTCCCTTAGAGCTGGGGCTCCCTGATCAGATGCCATTTCTGTTTGTTGAAGGCAAAGGAAGCGTCCAGAATCTGGGAGCATCAGAAAAGCATTTCGGAGTGACAGCCATGGGCTGGGCAGTTCTCTGACTGACTCCTCCTCCCCGGGGGTGGGGGCTAGCTGCCGTCCATCTTCCCAGCCCATCATGAGCCAGAATCTCCCCAAGGAAGGGCCAGATAAGTGTTCCATCAGCGGCCATGGCAGCCTCAACTCTATCAGCCGCCACTCATCCTTGAAGAACCGGATGGACAGTCCACAGATCCGGAAGACCGCCACAGCAGGAAGGTCAAAAAGCTTCAATAACCACCGGCCCATGGACCCTGAAGTCATTGCACAGGTAACGGGGCCCTGAACAACTAAGTGATAGTTTACACTGGTCATTTCCCCTCAGCAGCCTCGGCTAATCCACAGAACTTAAAATAGACTAATGTCTGTACATTCTATAGAGAGTACTGCAAGTGTCATACAGTGAACCTGCCAGGACAGCTTACTGAGCAATCTGCCGAGTCCTATCTCCCCAGTAAGAATCTGAAAGTAGAATCAGTCTTACTAAGGTAAGGTCTGGGGTGATAGCGCAGTGGATAAGAATACTTGCTATAGAAGCAAGATGAACTGAATTCAAATCCGTAGCACTCACATAAAAGCCTAGCACAGCCATGTATGTCTGTGACTTCAGTGCTGGGGATTAGGAGCAGGCAGCCAGCTTAGCCAAAACAACAAGCTTCAGATTCAGTGAGAGACTCTGTTTCAAGTAAGATAAGGTCAAGAGCAATTGAGGAGGGCACCTGACACCTTCCTCTGACCTCTGCACATAGGACACATGGATAGAGGGGTGGGTAGGTAGATAGTAGACAGATGATTAAAAACCCAATAGTAGACTTTAGTGAAGCTGAGACTCAAATATAGTCCAAGTCACATTTACATATTTCTCTGCCCATCCCTGTCACCCCACTTCCTGAAGCTGATCTCAATGCTTGTGGGTAGATCTGCCATCTGATTCTTTCATAAAGACCCCGAAGTATTCATGTTGTTTGAAGCCCAGGTACTAGAAAGGCCTCTAGCCCAGGGGTCCAGGTAACAGTGCAGGTGAGCTCCCAGATTGCAGGACTTTCCTTTTCATCTGCACTACACTGATGATTCTGTGTTTTCCATGAAATATTAGAAGCCCTACTCGACTTCTAAACATCCAACTGGGGCCACTCCAAGCAGTTCTCTCAGACGTCTCTCCCAGCTATATAATTTTCACTAGAACAGGTAGGAACTAAGGGCTTGGTTTTGTCCTTTTCCTCACCTCATCTTCTGAGGTGATAGGAAAGGGCAGTGGAGGCTCTTTATGGTCTCTGTTGGTTGCATTACTGCTCTGCTTAAGGAGGTGTACCTGGTGAGGACAGAGTTAAGCCCTGGGCCTGTGATGTCTTGCTTTGCCAGCCTTCTATTCTGTTTAAGCTCCTGACAGCAGTCTGCCTTGTACCATGGGAATCCTCCTTGATCCTCTTTTGGCCAGCCATTAATCAAAGTGTTAGAAACTACAAACATACTAGCTACATAACAGGACAGGGCCAGGAGATAAGAGTTCTTTCTGAGCGTTCTAAAAGGTTCGAGAAGTCTGGTGTTTAGCTCAGTGATGCAAGCTCAGAATGCTTATCTAGCATGCAGAGGCTCCTGGGTCCCATCCCTGGGATTCCAGGAAGAAAAAGGGAGAGTAATGAATGCCATAAGGAGTAGTGAAAATGAGTCTCTATCATCCATAGCAAACATAGATCGTGTCATAGGACTGAAAGCCCTGAGTGGGAAATCTGAGGCTAACTTGAAACTTAGTATGTTTGAAAGAATTCTTGATCCCAAAGAGGAGTCCTGTGGTGGGTTTGAAACACAATATTAAACACAAGTTTGCAGCGGGGCTATGGAAGCTGGGTGCTTACATACAGTGGTTCTTTGGCTCTGCCTTGAGCCCCTGGGCTAGGACTGCTTTTTTCCTAAAATCTGCAGTGTCCACTGATTTGTAGATGCTAACTTACCTATGTGGGCTTTGGCTCCCTCTTTTGGCCACTCTGGGTTCTCTTTCATGGTGCTGGGCAGAAGGAACCAGCTTCACACTTGGTGCACACTTGGAAGAGATGGGAAATTGAAGCATTGTTCTGACCAATCTTCAAGGACTTGGCTCTTGAACCTTCCGTAGCTCGTGTGGAGGAAGGAAGAAATAACCCCCTTAACCATTGACCTTGAAGTCAAGAAAATAAAGATCATACTTGATCTCTACCACTTTGTAAAATGTGTTCACTATGTATGCTTTCAAACATACACAGAAATAACAGAGAATTATATAATGAATCCACATGTACTCATGACCTTTCCTCTCTCCATTTAACTGTAATTTCATCCAGAAATGTTTTAGCACCTGTCACAAAAACCAAGGGCGCGAGTTGAAAAGACTCAGCTAATATTTTCCCTTAGTTGTTAGACTTAATACATTTATGCAATGTATTTTAACCACGTCCTCCACTACTCCCTACCTCCAGCTGCTCCTACCGCCTCCCACTTGACTTCCTTCCCAACCTCATGTCTTCCTTTTGTTACTGTTGTGAGCACCCTCCCCCAGTCCAGTATATACTGGACTAATACTTCCCCTGTGTATTGGAAGTCTAATACTTCCCGTATATGCAAAAGTCTAGGGCCACCTTCTGGGGCATGGTCAACCTACCAGGAGCCCCATTCCCAACACTGAGTGACTCTTCCTCAGCAACCATCAACTGCCAATAAATAGCTCCTCCGATGGGAGTGTGGCCTGAGAGGGCCCCTGCCCCAGTTTCTGCTGGCATTTTGGCTGGCTTGATCTTGTACAGGTAACCACAATGGGTATGCGTTGATGTGTGCAACAGCCTTGTCATATACAAAAGTCACCAGTTACTCTTTCTAAATTCCTGATGATGACAATCTCTCTGTCCCCTTTCTCCACATCCTCGACTCTCATGTGGCCCAGGACTTTGGCCAAGTGAAATAAGGCATTTTATTGCTGGTTTCATGGCTTGGCCTATTTGGGTGAAATAGGATCCTTGGGGACATCTGTCTGGGTTTGTCTTACTTCTTCCTTTTTCCTGTTTTGCAGGATATTGAAGCAACAATGAACTCTGCCCTGAACGAGCTTCAAGAGCTAGAGCGGCAGAGCAGTGCTAAGCACACACCCGATGTGGTTCTGGACACCTTGGAACCCCTTAAGACCTCCCCAGTGGTAGCCCCCACATCAGAGCCCTCCAGCCCCCTGCACACCCAGCTCCTCAAGGACCCTGAGCCTGCCTTCCAGCGTAGCGCTAGTACTGCTGGGGACATTGCCTGCGCCTTCCGGCCTGTCAAATCTGTCAAGATGGCTGCTCCAGTCAAACCACCAGCCACTCGGCCCAAGCCAAGTGTCTTCCCCAAGACAAATGCTACTAGCCCTGGTGTCACCTCATCTGCTTCCCCACAGTCCACTGACAAGTCTTGTACTGTCTAAAGGGATGACAATGATTCTAGACAAGGAGACTGGCCGTTTTAAATCTTCCTATTTAACTAGCTTGGGGACTCAGTTGAAAATTAGGTTCTAAGTTGTTCTTACAGGAGTTAGCCTTCCCATTACCCAGACCTTGAGAATGAAGCCCTTGTTACTGCTTTTCCCTTTCTGGTCTTTCCCTCCACCCTTTGCTTCCCTCTGTTGTTGGAATCCAACCAGCTCCAGTACATACTATTATTAGGTTAGCCAGTGACAGGTTTTCCATTATTGGGTTGCTGTGATATCTGCCAAGGCAAGACATGGGGACCCAGGTCTAAGTCTCTGTCCCTTCAGACCATAGAGGATACCTTGACCAGAGTTTGGCTGCAGCCAATCAGCTCTCAGTGACATCTTCTGTTTCAGTACTGATTTAAAAAAATCGTATATAGCCCTGTTTTCATTTTATATAAATATATATATATTTGTGTGTGTGTGTGTGTGCATGCACATGCGCATGCACACCCATATACACACACAGGTTTTTCTGGTCTCTGGTTTAGCCTCTCCTGGTCATGGACCACTCTTTATTGTGGTGGCAGTTCACACAGAAGCCACCAGGAGTCTCTGTTCTCATCACACACTTTGTTCTGTTTGGAACAGAGAAACCTGGCCTTTGAAATCTCTCTGTCATAAAAAGTTAGCAGAGTGGAACAGCCCTGTGATCTGACATTCAGGTGGGGATTCTGTCTTCTTCCTCTTGCTGTGAGGTAGTCACTGGTTGTTTGCATTTGCTCTGCTCCGTTCTGTAGAAGTGCACCCCAGTCTTATCACGGAGCTTTTGAAGTTTTCCTGAACATATAGACTTTTCTTCAGTTCCTGACTTTGTCTCTGACACACCATTTTCCATGTAATGTTTTCCAATATAAGACAGTTCTATAGCTAGTTCCTTTTAGAGTAAAAAGTCTTAAAGTTTTATTGTGTTTATGGCAAGTTTGAAAAGGGTAAGAAATGGGTCCTTTTTCCTCCCACCATTTTGGCATTTCAAACTTTTAAAATTCACCATTCCATTAAAAAGAATAATTAAGTTGCTCTCTGCTAATCCAAGAATTGTGCCCAGATTAAAACTATTTCAAGTTCACCTCTTGGCTTAGTTTTTTTATAAGGCTCTCTCGGGATAAAGCCCTCCATAAATTCTAGAAGTACTGCCTCTTAAAACTTTTTTTTGTTTATCTAAAAAGGATGACTAAGGGAACTTTAACCCCCACAACTCAAAACTGTTTTCACAAAACCAGAATCTTAAAAAAGGGAAAAATTGAATGTTTCACATTGGGTCTTGCTTTTGGCCTTTTCCAGATGTGCTACCATTGAATGCTCACCCAGCCTACAAGCCTGGTGCTTGGAACACCCGCTGCTCTTACATCGGGTTTACCCAGGAGCACCGGGGCTTGGAAATCATACCATGGGATCTTGTGTTTCAACAGCTCCTTGTAGAAAGGAGCTTCTCTTCTTCTCTGTTTCCTGCTTTGAATGCTATGCTTTTATTTTAACTGTATTGTTTTCTATAGTTCAAGAGGAATGGGTTTGCCATTCGGGCTGGAAAATCTGAGCCTTCTTAGCTTTGGGCTAGAAATGATCCTTTTGGACCAACTTGTGAGGTTGGCAGTTGGATCTGTAGAAAGTGGTGGGTGCTTCTCTCTGAGTGAAGGGAATGGGGAGCTGGAAGGAGTCACTAGTGAGAATAGTAACTTGCAGCACCAGGAAGACTGCCCCTGAGCTAGAGGAGAGAGCTCTAGCGCTCCTTGAGTAGCGTGGGTCTGAGTGCATGGGGCACCCCTTGGTCCTTTGGACGTCTGATTCTTGGTGTTCTGTTTACTGACCCGGGCTTGCACTGCTCCTGAGCCAGTGGGGCTTCCAGACCCGAGGGAGGGTCGCTTCCTTGCTAAACATGAAGCCCTACTCTTCGCATTTTACATTCCTTTTACTCTAAGTGATCAGCGTTTCCAGCCTGTCCTTTATCCTCTCCAGGACATGACCCTCTAAGAAGGTAAAAGCAAAGGTTCTTAAAAGACCATACTGTAGGCCTGTTCTTTTCTTCTTGCCTTCTCTCTTAATCCTGTACATTATTTGTGTTTTTTCATCCCTTTGGTCAATGTCCATCTGCTGATTTGCATAATGAACTGGACAGTGTACAAGTGGTTCCCTACCAACCCCAGCTCTGGGAGCCTAGCTGTCTTCCTTATCTCTGGTGCTTCTGACGCCTGTGAGATGGTCCTGTTTAAAGGAGAGTCCTCCTCAGCAGAGCTCACTTCAACTGGAATTGAGGTTGCACACTGTGATTTCACAACCAAAAGCCAAAAGGAGCCGGCCACCCCAGGCCTTGGGCAACCAGCCTTCCTCAGACAGGCTTGCCCGAAACCAGCATGATGCTTCCAAGAGCCCTGCTCTGCCCCTAGTGGCATGGATCCTTTCCCTGGTGTGGACTTAAGTCTCTGGGGAAGAAAAGTGGGTGGAGCTACCAGCATCCCAGTTTGGAAAGTAGAGGAGTTTGCCACCAGCAGCTTATAAACTGGAAATGCTGGTCTCTGCCAGCCTCCTCAGGCCACCCTCATTTATCCCCAAGGAGATGAGAAATCCTTCCAGTACCAGGATGAACAGACCACTGGAAGGGCTGGTGTGCATGGACTTCGGTTCAGAAGAGAACTTAGATCTTCCAGGGAACTGCAGTGTTGTGGCGTCTGATTTGTATGTCACATTTGTGTAAAATGATATGTTCTTTAAAATGGTGTTGATAACTGGAATATTGTATGTATGCTTGAAGATGCTTTGTGTGAACCTAAGACTCACTCAGCCGATGTTGGATTGGGGAAAATCCAAAGCACAACTTCAAAATAAAATACATTTTTAGGTTTCGTTGCTGCAAGTAACCTCCCTTCCCCTCTCCCTGAAAGTACTGAAGTAACAGAGTTCAAGCCTAGCAAAGGTAGGAATGAGGTGACCTTGAGTGCCACCTTCTTTCTCCTCTACAGCATTGATTTAGCCCATGTGTGGCTCCTCAAAGGGTCTGTAGGAAATCTCCAGCATGCAATTCACTAGTCTGTGGTTGTAAGAGCTTTTCTTAACAGAACCCACCCTTTGTTTTCAATGTGGACTGCTTTCATTTCTAGCTTTATGATCAGAGTTCCCTACTTGAAAGCCTAGCCAGGCCATGGTGGTGCACGCCTTTAATCCCAGTACAGAGGCGGATAGATCTATGCGAGATGGAGGCCAGCCTGGTCTACAGAGCGAGTTCCAGGACATCTGGGGCTACACAAAGAAGCCAGCCCTGACTAGAGGGGGTTGAGAGGAAGGAAAGAAAAAAAGGCAGACCTATAAAGCTTGTTGGAAACTTACCAACTATGACTAAGGGTTGCCAGACAGTTCTATATTTTAAGAATTCTCATTTTACTTAGTATATATGGGTAGTGTTTTGCCTGCATATCTGTACAGTACATGTATGCAGTGACGTGGAGGTCAAAAGTGGGTATCAGATCCTTTGGAACTGAACAGATACAGCAGACAGTTGTGAGCCACCATGTGGGGCTGGAAACTGAACTCTGGTCCTCTGCAAGAGCAACCAGTGCCCTGAAATGCTGAGCCGTCTCTCCAGCCTGCCAATGGCTCTTGTCTTTCTCCGCTAGATCCCTGAGTCTGCCTTGGCCATCCCTGTATCTGGAAAAAGGTCTGACTGACATGTCTTGCTGCCAGTGGGGGTGGAGGATACAGGGATGTTTCCACTCCCTTAGAGATGCCTTGTGTTTTAATAGAAAGTGACTTTGGTGGTAGAGTTCATAAAAGTAACAGCTGGTTACTCTACCGCATGCTCCTGCCAAGGTGTGTTACCAGAATCCCAAAGCAACGAGGCCGCCAGTCATGGACTGAAACCTCCAGACTTGTCCCCTGGAGGCTTCCAAATGAGGAAAAACTGAATCTTCAGAGTCAGTGTGTGTGTGCGCGCACGCGTGCGTGTGTGTGTGTGTGTGTGTGTGTGTGTGTGTGTGTGTGTGTGTATAAATGTATATATACATACGCATTGTTGGTTTGAGACAGGGTCTCACCTTCTAGCCCTGGCTATCCCAGAACTCACTATAATCTCAAATTCATAGAGTTTACTGCCTCTGCCTCCTGAGCTGAAATTGAAAGCATGCATCACCGTGCCCTTCAGAATGTTTTTTTCTAAGATATTGCTGAATTCTTAAAACAGCACAACTGTCCTTGTCCTGTCTATTTCATGAATCTATGGGCAGCCCGGCTTAGCGCTCTTTCCTGTCCTGCACACAGCTTCTGCCTTGTGTGGGGCTATTTGACTTCTTACGCCATGAGTTGCTTTCCTGTCCCAGGTAAGAGCAAGTGTGCACACACGCCTGTGTACATACATAGTTAACGTTTGGGAATTTCATAAAGCATGTTTGATCATACTCATCCTGCCCCAGTTCTTCCCAGACTCATCCCCTCTTCCTACTCTTCCCTGCCCAACCTTGCCTCCCCCTCATCAAGGATGACCGGTGCTGCCCCATATTCTTGGCTGTATGGCCTTCCACTGGAGCTTTGTCTGCTTATCAGGGACTACACTCTTAGAGAACACTGACCCTCTCTTTCCCAGCTGCTAACAATTGCCACTTGCGCCTCTGGTAGGGGTGGACTTCATGTCTAACTCCCCTCTCCATGCTGGGATTTGCTCTGGTTTGTGTTTGCACAGGTCTTGTGCAATGCATACATTTTTAATAAATAGATACCAGATTAACAAAAGCAGCAAAATATCAAGAGAGGTAACAGAATGAATTCCACAAAATCTGGGATCAACATTCATTTTAGAGCACTTATTGTAATAGAAGACATCCCCAGGGATAAGCCAAGCCCAGCATGTTTATTGGCATTATCTGTGTTCAGTAGTGATACAGGGAGTCCTACTCCAGTGGGGCACGGACACCTTCCTCTTAGATTTGTTATTTTTATCTCTTATGTATCTGGTATTCAGCTCCTTGCCTTACCAGCCTGTCTCATCTCCCTCTGTTAGTGATGCTCTTGCAGCATTGTTGCCCTGCGGTGAGTCAAAACTGAGGCTGTTCTGCCACCCTGTGATACACGTGGGCTCTCATACCCACCCACCTCCCATTCAAGCATCAGTATATGAGGGGGGGATCCCTGAAGCCAATGAGTTGCTGAGATGGAGCTAGCTCTTGGGTTATGGGCAAAGCGCCAAAAAGACTTAGAGAATCCTACAGGCAAGAATCATGCTTCTGGGGTCCTTTTTCATATATATTCTATTGGAACTTTAATGGAAGCAGGAGGCAGTGAACAGTCAATATACAAACCCATTTCAACTGGATGGAAACTGGAACAAGAGACCAGGTTAGCGTGGGCTATCTCATTTAAATGTTTATAGAGCCCATTGTTGTAGGACATTAGGTG